TTTCTTGGTGTCTTTAAACACCGAGCGAAAACAACCCAAGAAATAGTTTGCGAAATAAAGAAATGGATAATAGTCTATAAAGATACCCTTTAATTTTTGCTCATTTATTTGATTCAAAATAAACTGTTTTAGCTGATAACCTTTGTCATTGAGCTAAGTAGCTTGTCTCTAATTAAATAAGATAAATGATTCTCAAACGCACCGATGAGGTTGTAACTTGAGGACAATTCGGGTGACAAATAATATTGTACTGTGTAAATTAGTTGGCAATTCAAATAATAGCAACGTATTTGTTTGTGAGAATCTGAGTGTGAATGTGTAATATTATGACACGGAGACAATATTTAAGGATTTAAGCCTTGGCAATGTGGAAGGTATTGCTTTTGCTTTCCAAAATATGCACGAGATGTGGAGCATCAAGTGTTAATTCTAGTTAACAACGCCTGAAAGGAATGGCCGTTACAAAATGCGTTGAGTCCTAGGCTTAAATTCTTTTCACACATTGCAAAATATTTTCTACAAAATCACCTAAAAGATACGAAATCACTAAAAGAACATATTTTCAATGAATGAATTTTTGCAAGGGTCAAGCTGACAAAGTATCAATTTCAATCAGTAGAGTCCAGTCATCAACATGACTACTGTTTATCTAGTGACCCTGAGTTCGTTATTGGTTATATAAAGTTTTCTGTTATCAGTTGGAATTGGACAAACCTTGCATTGCAATTGTGTAAATACCCTCTATTGTTTATTAGTGTTTTTATCTTCCATTGTAGGTATTAGTTAGTATTATCTAAAGGAACAATATAGAATTAACATAATCGACGTTTTTCATAATTGTTTAGGAGAGGCTGAGAGTGGGATGGGGCGTCACTTGAGAGACATGCAATATGAAGCTTGATTTAAGAATTCCATTAATGAAACGAAAGATCATAACAGACCTGTACAAAGTGTAATCGGCTTTCTTTGCGACTCAATCATTAGATCATTTTCAACAATTAAGTATCTGACTTGATCTGGTTTGTTAAAATATTGCCATTTACGCATACTTGGCAGTTATCATCGATAATGGCTGTATGAAGATACATGTATGGTTTAATTATGACAAACAACAAACACGGGTTGAATATCCTTTCCTTGATCCTTTAAAACAAAGTAATTATTATTCACACCTGTGACAAATCGTGTCAGACTAAGTCACATAGATGAATAAACACAAGGAGCACACGCGTCTCAAACTCGCAACCTCGTGGTTACGGCGCCCACTCGCCTAGGCTGAACGAGGTTGACTAATAGTTAATAGGTGGTATATAATTTTCTTAGAATGCAAGAGAAAATAAGAGAATCTTTACATGGTGTTTCATAATGACCGTCCCAACTTCAATTAACCACCAATCTAAGAGAGTTTCATACCCCCATAATCATGTAATATATCATACGAAAGCTTATCCTATTGTATTCTATCCTTACTGAAATAACTTTGACAAGCTCGACAATTTTACAACTTACTACATATCTCTTCTGTCCCAATTTGACTTTAGCATACAATCTGCCAATAGATGATAACTATGCCTCAGAACACTATTATTTACAATTAATTACGTACACGAAGAATGTACATATTTCCATTTGGAGGAAATTAAACCAATCTTTCCAAGAACTAATTAGAGAGCCTTATATGATACAATATATTATATAGCTATCGGTCTGCCTCTCTCTTGAAATCCATTACGAATAGAAACCATAAATCGAGCAGATTCTGATGATAGTGAGTACCAATCATACGTTCACAAAATATGGAAAATATATGTAATGACGTTTAATAAATATTGCCAATATTTGTTCCATAACGAAATTTAATGAGCTTTATTCTGAGATATAGATTTTATGAAACACCCAGTACCTCTCAATTTTGCAAAACATATAGAAAGTGCATCGACCCCAGACAGACAATTGTTTTTAATTTCAGTTCATCCTGACCTTTTAGACTGGAAATTAATCAGCAGCCCACGATGCCGTGTCACGCATTCATGTACAGCGCAGCTCCTATACACCCTAGCGATCATGGAAACTCGCATGAAGGCCCCCAGACATTTACCCAGGGAGGATGCCAGGAGAATATTGTGATTTCCGGAATATCAGGCCGACTTCCTGAATCTGACAATATGACTGAGTTCAAGAAGAACTTATTCGCTGGTGTTGACATGGTAACGGAAGATGATAGAAGATGGCAACCAGGTAGATATGCCAATACAAATGACGCATTTGTTTCGTACAGCACTGAGTTTATTTAAAGTTCGTTCCTTCCTACCTCTGAAGAATCCCTACCACAGTCACCTTTTCATGTTTCATATTCAAAATATAATTTTGGAATTTAAGAACATTATTCCTGCATTATAAGTTCCCAAATACACCAAGGCCGATCCAATGCATGAAAATTGAACATATTGGTTGATTGGAATTGCATTTTGTTTCCAATTTTCACTCTTGTATCGCTGACCCTACATTTAAGGAATGTTTGGACTTCCTAAGCGTAATGGAAAGCTGAAGGACTTGACAAAGTTTGATGCGCAATATTTCGGCGTTCCCCCAAAACAAGCCCATGCTATGGATCCGCAACTGCGCATGTTGCTGGAGGTGACATATGAAACACTGATTGATGCAGGTAAATAGGGGCGTTGCCTTTTTGGTCTGACTTTGTGGTACTGTTACTTCTATCAATTAAACCAAACGGTTCCACTATCTTATCTATTCGAGTTCCTTGCAAGATACAAAAATGGGATAAACATCCAAACTCTCAAAAATTATATTACTATAAAAGCTCGGGCAATCAGGGTAAACGCCAGATTAAAGAATACATTTTCTCCACCCATTTGATAATCCACGGAATGTCATGAATATCGTAGGCGTGTCCCCTCAGTCAGTGCGTGGCTCTAGGACTGGTGTATATATAGGAACAATGTCATCAGAGTCACAGGATGTATGGACCCATGATCCCGACACTATAGTAGGATATGAGATGACTGGTTGCTCCAGAGATATGTTTGCTAACCGACTCTCGTACTTCTTCGATTTTAAAGGTAGGTTGGGTCAAGTGTTAATATTTCATTAGTGTATGATTTAATTTGAAATGAATTGTTTTCACAGACTGATTCATCTATATCCCTAAGATTTATGAGTACCAGTTTTCAGCTTTGAATATGTTTAATAAAGAGCTTTTTTAATTTATAGCATGTATATGTATATACGTTGGTGTTGGGGTCGTATAAAATGAATCCTGATTAATTCACAAATTATTTGCAGGTCCAAGTTATGCATTGGATACTGCTTGCTCATCAAGCTTAGTAGCGCTGGATCAAGCCTTGATGGCGATACGGGCAGGCCAATGTGATGCTGCAATAGTAGGGGGATCTAACCTATGTCTCCGTCCACAGACTTCTGTACAGTTTCAGAAACTCGGAATGTTGTCACCCGATGGAGCATGCAAAGCGTTTGATGCATCAGGCAAGCAATCTATACCAGTAACTTTTAATTATATAAAAGAAAACAAATATTATGTAGAACATATACTTCTCAGATGTTATTAATAAAAAATAAATGGATGGCTCCTAACACATCAAATTACATTGTTCAGTTAAATCAGATTTCGACTCCTGATGGATAACATATTTATATCAAATGTGATTTCATGGTTATGCTCTGATAATCTTTCTATGATGTTATATGTTGTTGTATTGACTTCCTTTTTATGTTATAACTATGGAATACTTTTATGTACATGCAACAGCCTAGAATAAGTGCAATAGGGGAATTAAATTGATTTACATTGACGTTGTTTTATAGGCAATGGATATGTGCGAAGCGAGGGTGTTGTTTGTATATACTTACAAAAAGAATCCAGAGCAAAACGAATCTATGCAACGGTTGTCCATTCTGGAACCAATTCCGATGGTAACAAAGAACAAGGTAAAACATTAAAATTTAATCATTTCAATCATATTTCATCAGTTTTCCAATTACGATTACACCTTTATGATCACTTACAGGCATAACATATCCATCGGGAGAGTTGCAGAAAGCTCTCTTGAAAGAGGTCTATACGTCGGCAGGTATAAACCCTGGTACAGTAACATACGTAGAGGCCCATGGTACCGGAACAAAGGTGGGCGACCCACAAGAACTAAACACACTGGTCGATGTGTTCTGTAAGGATAGAAGAGGGCCACCTTTAATGATTGGTTCCGTCAAGTCAAATATGGGACATGCCGAACCAGCATCAGGTACTTCAATGTACTTTGTGTCATGAGTAGTTTTCTTTGCTTTTTACAACTTCACATTGAAGTGTAAAACATAAATGTGTGTTAAGGATATAGTTTCATATTATATTCGTATTTCAGCCCTAGCAGCACTTGCGAAAGTTGTCATAGCAATGCAGGAAAATGTTTTGCCAGGGAATCTACACTACCGTATCCCTAATCCTGATATACATGGACTAAAGGACCATCGATTAGAAGTTGTTGACAAGAACACACCTTGGCATGGAGGTCTAGTTGGTGTCAATTCTTTTGGATTCGGCGGATCTAATGCTCATGTAATCTTGAAGTCACCCAAACGTGAACGAGCAGTATCTTCACATTCACCAACAATGCGCAGAAGGGCACGGTCTTTTGTTGCAGATACGCAACGCGAAAGATCCGGGTCTTTTAAGTATCAACCAATCATTAGACAACGATCGAGTACTTCAACTGGTGCCAGTATATCAAAACTTGAGCGCGCAAGAAAGAAATGGAAGACACTTGCTAAACGATCTACCGATGATGTCAACAAGACACCACGTCTTTTCTGCTACAAAGGAAGAACGGAAGACGGTGTAAACAGTGTGCTCAAACAGATGCAAGATCGAACTACTAAAGCTGGAACAATTGAAATGCAGGCTTTGATCCAGGAATCCCAGAACTCAAAGGACCAGGCCCATCAATACAGAGGATTCACGACACTGAACTGTAGTAATGAAACCATGGATGTTGGAGTGAGTTGATACAATTATTTACAACTTATTTTGAAAAACTACATAATGATCACAGTATGCAGCCAGTAAATGTCAGGAATGGTTGTGTCTGTAAATCTCTTCCATCCTTTTTATATCAAATATTCTCCTGTTTTAGAATTCTTCCACGGAGAAAAGGCCAATTTGGTATGTGTTCTCTGGAATGGGCTCCCAGTGGTACAAAATGGGCCGAGATTTGATGCAGTTGGACAACTTCAAGCACTCCATCATGAAGTGTCACATAGCATTAAAGCCTTATGGAATCGACCTTTTCAAGATTTTAATGGAAGATGATGAAAATGTCTTCAATGATACAATACACTCTTTTGTTGGAATCGCTTCCATCCAGGTATGCTTAACAAGAACTGCTTTACGTTGATCTAGCCAGCATATATTCAAGAATATGTGTCTTGGAAAATTACAGTCACATAGTTGAATTTTTTATATCAACCGATTCCGTAAGATTTGAGATGTAAATTAAATTGATATTATAGCACACTTAGCACCAAAAGACGTGTAAACTTATGAATTGTCTTTTCATTAACTTACTAATCTCAGGCTTGTGTGTAAAATTATTCATACACAGTCCGATTACATTTCATGTAATAACGATGACAATGATCATGTTATAGGTTGCCTTGGTCGATCTTCTCAAATTGCTCGGAGTCAGACCAGATGGTATATTAGGTCACTCTGTCGGTGAACTGGGATGTGGGTATGCAGATGGTGCCCTTTCTGCAAAGGAGACCGTGCTTGCTGCGTATCTACGTGGAAAATGTGTCAAAGAGGGAAACTTGGACCATGGGAGCATGGCTGCTGTTGGTACGTTCCTCGAATTAGTTTTTGATAGACTGACTTTAACGTTTCTGACACTCATATCACATTTTTTCACATATACCTTTATACCTTTTTAGGTCTGACGTGGGAAGAAGTGAATGCACGTTGTCCAGAAGGAGTAGTTGCCGCTTGTCACAATTCCGAAGACTCTGTCACCATATCAGGTCCCAAAGATAAAGTCGCAGCGTTTGTAGCAGAATTGAAGGCAGAAAATGTGTTTGCACGAGAAGTTAACAGCTCTGGAATTGCCTTCCATTCTCCATATATGTCAAAAGTGGCACCTGCCTTGTCACAGGCACTTAAAAAGGTAAAGAGCTATTCCTGCCTTACTCAACTTTGACGCATTAACACAAACCATTTATGTCTTGAACATTTTTCAACTCCACCTCCCGACTCTATGACACTATTGATCGTAAATAACCTCTGGAGGAAATATAATCAACTTCTGCCATTAGAGGTCACAGGATCTTGTAGCACGTTTATGATGACTGATATGCTGCCTGGTGATAGACTGATATGTGGCTTTATATAGAGAGAAGGAGTATATCGCCGACAAATTTCGAAAACTGGAAGTAAAAAAAAAATATGAATTATTGGTCAGATTTTTATAATTAGGGTCTCATTTTGAAAAAAAATCTTTCTTCTGTAAGATAAATGTCACTGCCTAACATTTAGATAAATTTAAATAAAAAAGTTTCTTTACTTTCTGATACCCATGCTAACGACCGTTATCTGTTCTATAGATGTCTACAACCAAAACTCACCTTTATAGCGATTTCTCCCCAAATCTTTCGCCAATTAACTTGTCCTTTACTCGTAGAATCCTTTAACCACTAGAGATTTGTAGGGATGCTGCGCTTATGCTGTTCAGCCTGTAAAAATATGTTATTTTGCCGTTTTAAAAATGAAATTTGATTTTGTTGATATTTTGGCAATTCTAGCGGCCATCTTTGTGAATAATTATGACGTAAATTTTGAACCAATCAAATTGCAGAACCCCGGAGAAGAGCGAAATTCATAATATCTATTTATGATTTAAAATATATTTGGGCAGTTAAACATTAAAAAAACAAAAGATAAATATATATTTTTGTTTATTAACTATTTACATAATTTTTAATAGCCCCTTTCTATATAGAATTATGAAAGGTCAGACGGGTCAAGTTTACTACGTCATTATTTCAAGATGGCGGCAGAGAATCGTTCCAAACCGTATTTTTAAAATTAGTATGCTTTTACACATTTTTGAACAATAATAGTACAATTGGAACAGCGTATACCATTGCGTATGTGTGTATTACAACTGGATAAAACCAGAGATCAATCGACGAAACATTGAGGGAGAAATCGATCGATAAGGTAAACTATGAAAAATGTCTGTATAGAAGTAATCATGGTCTGATGCTAAGGTAACAGATAAGACGAAAAAATCATATTTGCAGCGTGTCTACAAGTAATATAAGACATGTATGTTGCCGCTAAATAATTTTTCTTAAAAATGAGACCCTTATTGTGGAATTCTGAGCAATAGTTTTTTTTATTTTTTCATTTACAGAACCCGGAAGTAGTGAAGTGTTATTACCCTTATTACTTATACTATACTAAGGCCTATCATAGTGCTCATCTCATATCATAGTGCTACATGTCTCTGTGTTAGAGGTAGTCTCAGAATCTGTCTATAAACAATGTGTATTTTTGTTTTTTAATACTCTTATTTAGATTTACACTGCACATGATACTGAGGTGTCCATCAATGATGCTAACATTACCTTTAAATGGTTAGCGTCCTGTAATTGCAATCTCCGAAACTTGTCTCAGTAACACCGTTGAATCATTGCCTAATCATTATAAATAGGCGGAACTGTTTCATCTATTTGCAAATATTTGAAGTGTGAAACTAAACCAGATTTAAGATCAATCAGAATGATCGCAATTCTAAATAATCAATTTTACTTCTAAAACACAATGGCACATAAACTGATATTAAAATGTTTGAATATAGACGAATCAGAATGATGTCTTTGGTCTTTAAATTCAGAACATTATTCGGTTAGTTTGTGAAATAATATTATAGTCTCACATAAAAATACTATATAAAATATAACATGTTTCTACTAAAATAAATTGTTGTAGTAAAATAAATATTATGGCAACCCAGTCGACACCTTATGAGAGACTTCAAATTAATTCACATTGGATAGTCATTTGAGTTGCTGGTTAATTTCAATCCAAAGTAATTTTACACTTTTAAATATCATAATTGTATATGGTCATGGTCAAATGAATAAATGTCATAACGTTTATTGACCATAATTTCGCCTATTGTTTTTGTTAATAGCAAATTTACTTGACAGTCGTCAGAAAAGATATACCTTTATCAAAGTGTTATTTTCTTGTAATTTATTATCTTTAATCGTCTAAACAACCAGTTTGGCATACTTATTAAGGCATTTTAATCAACAAAATCTTCATCGGTATCCGGACGAGTGCTTTACCACTGAGCTACGTATTCAAATAGTATTTCCAAATCAACAAAATGAATATATCATTGTAGTAATGATTTACGTACACATTTTTCTGGGTTAAGGTATAATCAGATCTACAGGGAGTGACAAAATTGCAAGGAACGTGTACAGTTGACCTACCCATTCCTTACTATCTCAAATATAATATCTCACAAAAGATCCACAATATGTTATCAATTGGTAAAAGTGCAAAATGGGGGAAAACGTCTAAGTTCTCCCAAATAATGAATATGTTAACCATATTTATAGGAAAATAAATGCATTATTGTAAAAAACTTTAGTTTCCTCAAATAAAGTAAACAATTATGGGAATTGTGGAAAATAAACATGACAAGGAATGAGCTCGAGGCCACAATATTCTTTCATTGAAAAATCTTGTTGCCTTGCTTGATATGATCCTACCTTTAATTCATTATAAACTATTGTTATCCAGATTTTAAAAACTCCCGTTAGAAGAAGTAAGAAATGGGTGAGTTCATCTATCCCGGAAGATCAATGGGGCGCAGAATTAGCTGCTCATGCTTCGCCTGAATATTTCGTGCACAATCTCACAAGTCCAGTTTTGTTCCATGAAGCCTCAAAACATGTCCCCCAAAACGCCATAACTATCGAGATTGCGCCCCATTGTCTGCTACAAGCAATCCTGAAGAGATCGCTGTCCCCAGATTGTGTCAATGTGGGACTCATGAAAAGGAAACATGATGATAACATCCAGTTTATGTTTACATCATTAGGGAGGTGAGTCCTTTTGAAAAGGAACATTCCCTTCTAAATAAATTAAGCCTTTTATATAAGCCTATATAGTTTTATATAAATCTCCATGTACAAATGAAACAAATGGCTGTCATTTTTAATTCTTCTTTAGTTCAAAATGTTTGTTATACTTTCTGTATACCCATCCACATTACAGGGTCATATTGTATTATGTAAATGATATCAAATTAAACTTTTAATAGGTGCTATTTGAATGGTGTTAACATTGACCCGCTGAAAATGCTACCAGAGGTGACATTCCCGGTGTCCTGCAAGACTCCTATGATTGCTCCCTTAGTATCCTGGAACCACTCACAGTCCTGGGCGGTACCAAAGGCAGACGATTTTCTGCTGTGCAATAACAAATCAGGAGGTTTCAGTTTTGAATTTGATATGACACCTGATTCCGCGGACCGCCATATTCTTGATCACGTGATTGACGGCAGGGCCCTCTTTCCAGGAACGGGTTACCTATTTCTTGCATGGAAGGCTTTGGCTAAACTGGAACAGAAGTCTTTAGAAGACTTCAAAGTCGAGTTCAACAATCTGAGTATACAACGCGCAACCATTCTACCAACTAGTGGGACAGTAACATTTGAGGTAGTACTGATGCCGGGTACAGGTCATTTTGAGGTCTACAACAGTGGCGCTCTAGCTGCGAGTGGTGCTATTCGAGTCAAAGAAGGTGATGAGGACATATCCTACAATTCACCCATGACTGAATCTGAGTTGAACATGAATAAGGAGGATGTGTACAAAGAACTGAGACTGAGGGGATATGAATATGGACCAGAGTTTCAAGGGATTCTGAGTAGCAATATCGAAGGTATAGTAGATACACAGAACACAAAATATTTGTTTGCTGAATATTCCAAGTCTTTTCACATGTTATCTTTACACCACTTGACATCACTTTTACAGGCACACAAGGTGAATTACAATGGAAGAATGAATGGATTTCTTTCTTAGACACGATGCTCCAAATGTCAGTGTTAAGCTTGCAGACACGGTTTTTGCAGCTCCCAACGCGGATCAACTCTTTGACGATCGACCCAAAGAAACACATTGACTCGATTGCGAAGTCCACAGCACAAAGTAACACATCATGTAAAATATATAATACTTCCCATTTCAATTTGTAAAATTTCTCATTTCAATCTCTCTATCAATCAATATATTAAAATGTTAATACAGACTGCTCTTGCATCATTAAACCATTTTTCCTTTCAGTTATCCCAGTACATGTTTACAAAAATACAGATACATGTGTGTCTGGTGGGGTTGAGATTCTTGGCTTGCACGTGTCCCTAGCTCCACGAAGACCACCGACCCACTCAAATCCAATCTTAGAAGAATACAGATTTGTGCCTAATGTTAGGAAGGATAGATATAAGAATGACGAAGATCTACGACAATATCATGCTCTATGTTGCGATTATATCGATCAACAAGTGAGAAATTCTTTGAACATGTCAGATCTCAATTTTTCGAACAACGCATATTTCAAGGAATACATATTGAATGGTGTGAGAAACAAGGTTGACGAGGAAACACTTTCTAAGGCTCTGAGTGATTCTGAAAATGTATGGATAGCTTTTTTGAAAGAAAGCTTTGAACTCATAAGGAATGGTGCCCAAGTGGATGTCGAGAAAGCAATAGAACATTCAAACCTGGTTAATGATAAACTGTTTCAAACTATCCTAAGTGACGGCTCATTGGCAGCATTGATCGGAATTGTTCTTGAAAATACGAGGTCGACAAAATTGAAGATTGGTGAAGTGAAAACTGCTGGTTTTGATATACTGTCGAGGGTACAAGATTTCCTCAAAAGTCAGCCAAACACTCACTTTGAATCCACTGTTCTGTATCGGGATTCAAAATCGATCGACAAAGACTATTACAAGAAACATGGCCTGAAACTTGCCAAGTACGACATGAACAGCAAAGAACCGCTGAAAGAAGTCGTGAATCTACTTATAGCCTCTAATCAGGTTCTTGGACAAAATGATGCCGATAAAGCTCTCGAGAAACTCAAAGAAGCTATCACAGACGACGGTTTTATATTAATGACAGAACCTCTTGGTGACACCACAATGGGTAAAGTGCTACATGGACTTTCTAACTGTACCTCTTCCGATAAATTGGGCAAACCACTTTGTAAGACCCTATCTGATTGGATGTCGACAATGCAACGCGTAGGACTACATATAGTGAGCCTTGTAACAGATGGGCTGTGTAGCGGAACATTCCTCCTCAGAAAAGAGTCCACACAATCCCTGAAATCACAAACAATCCAAATAGATGCATCCAATTTTAGTTGGGTAGATCAAGTTAAAGACTCTTTGAATGGTCTTAATCAAAATAACTCAGCTGACATTGAGCGACTGTGGTTAATCGGCGATGGGGAGCCAAGCAGTGGCATAATAGGTCTAGTGAACTGTCTGAAGCAGGAATTAGGAGGCGAACGAATAAGGTAATACATGTTTTTTGCAGTTCTTTAAACATCCAAATATTGATTGCATTTCTTCACTAAATAGAGATTCTGCTAAATTATAACGCTACCACTAATTAATCAAAATTTTCTTTGATGATTTAATGTAAAAATGTAACACAGAAATGTTTGATGGAATAAATAAATATATTAGAAAACTATCTGAACAATTGAACAACACAGTCAATTATAAAAAATTCGAATTCCAATTAACGGTTATTCAAATATACCCATTACTTAATATATAACTCTTCTTTTAGATGTGTATTTAATGCAGACAACAGCGATGTCGGTACGTCGAGCGAACAAAAGGCTGAAGTAGTCGAGAAGATCATGAAAAATGACCTTCTGATGAATGTTCATAAGGACGGGGAGTGGGGAACGTTCAGACACATACCCCTTCGAAGAGGTACATGGTTTTACCGCTACGTACTGGGATTGCAATTCAAGAGATATTCTATGTCACTAAGTAGCACTTTATTCAATATTAATCATCAATACCAAACCTATAATGTACAACCTATGGGATACCATTTATATGAATATGTAGAATATATATTTTATTTATTCCAGAAACCAAGGACAATTCAGTTGTGACGGAGCATGCGTTTGTTAATGTCGTCCATCGTGGTGATCTTTCAAGTCTCACTTGGATCAATTCCCCGTCTACGGTATTAACGCCCAACTCAGACATTCAACGGTGCAAAGTAAGTTATGCATCACTGAATTTCAGAGATGTTATGCTTGCAAGTGGAAAACTTGCTGCCGATGCAATCCCCAATGGACTTAAAATGGCTGACTGTAATCTCGGAATGGAATTCTCTGGGATTGATGAAAAGAGCAGACGAGTCATGGGTCTTGTGCCGTCAAAGGTAAAACCACTTTGAATATGACTTTTAATTCACTGAACAGTTGTGTCTTCTGCAGGTGAATGCTTTAATTCATAAGCTAAAATGGTTATTTATTAATTTTATCCTGAAATGTATGCGACTAAGATGCCACATCTCACGCTTTATTACAAAAACATATTAATTCTTTTATGACGAATTAGGGTCTTGCAACAACAATTGATGCCCCGAATAGGTTCCTCTGGGGAGTCCCAGACAGCTGGTCATTGGAGGAGGCGGCATCTGTCCCTCTTGTATATGCAACGGCCTACTATGCGCTTGTTGTGAGGGGTAGAATACGTAGAGGGGATACGGTACTCATCCATTCAGGTCAGTGTTTGCAGTTTTTTAAAGTAAACCAGGTTTTATATAGACTGTGTGCAAGCTAATTTTCAAATAAATAATGCTCAAAATATACAATTTAGTAGTTTGGCTGGTTTAATTTATTAGAACTTAAACCTAAGGTCAATTTCAAGTCTCTATGTTAATCTCAACAGCATTCAGATATCAAATAGAAGCTGATGCAAATGTACTCATTTACAGGCAGCGGTGGGGTCGGGCAGTCAGCAATATCAGTTGCACTGCACTATGGCTGCAAAGTTTACACGACAGTTGGCTCGCTGGAAAAGAGGAAATATCTCATGGAAAGGTTTCCAGATCTCAATGAGCAAAGTTTTAGCAATTCAAGAGACCTAAGCTTTGAAAGTCATATCATGAATTCAACTAAAGGAAGAGGTATTTAAATAATATCCGCGTTGATCATATATCGCACAACCAATATCATTTATTGTTAAATAATTCTTATTATTACCATTGATTAATTATAGAAAGACAGAACGTGAGTATCAGTAACAAGTTGTTATCGACATTGCCACATTTATTTGACTGAAAGTCGCTGTGTGTGAGATAAATTACACAATTTGAGTCAGGTGTCGTGATTTTCTGAAATATCATGATCATGGCCTTTTAGATTTCAAAATGTGCGGATCTTATCATCAATTATTTCGCCCTAGAGAGATATGAAATTTGTAATTCCACACCTTATTAAATGTGATACCTATACGATGTCCAGTTCAATCTTATAATAGGTGTTGACGTGGTCCTCAATTCCCTTGCTGAGGAGAAGCTTCATGCAAGCCTAAGACTTCTTGCGCCCCATGGTCGGTTTCTCGAAATAGGAAAGTTTGATCTTTCGAACAATGCAAATCTTGGTGAGTTTGATATAGGCTTATCAGAAATGCTTATCTGGATATGTAAAGCACACATTCGGTTAGGATAAATACCAACAGTAATAATAAACACATAATAAAAAGATTCCCCAGCATTCTAGTCAGTGATCTGCGAACGGTATCTTACATGTTCGTCCTACCCACCAATCAGCCACCATTATCATAATCAAAGACCAAGAAAATTTCACGTATGCATACTGAAACATTGATTTTCTACTTTAGGCATGGGTTTATTTCTGAAAAATATAAGCTTCCATGGCATTCTAGTGGACTCTCTTTTTGACCCTGGAAATAGAGACTGGCTGGATACGTATACTTTAGTTGAACAAGGAATCAAAGAAGGCGTTGTGAAACCATTGAACACGACTGTATTTGCTAGGACCGATGTTGAGAATGCATTCCGATTCATGGGCCAGGGAAAGCATATTGGCAAAGTTGTCATCAAAGTAAGAGAACCCGATCAAGTCAACGAATCGATTATGGTCCAAGCTTTACGTCGAGCTGCATGCGATCCGGACAAAAGTTATATTATAACTGGAGGTCTAGGAGGATTTGGTCTAGAATTAGCACAATGGCTTGTAGAGAGAGGGGCAAAGAAGTTAGTCTTGACATCAAGATCAGGTATGAAAATGACATACACATTACAAAGAACATATTCTCATTTTATTTTTATTTTGCAGAGCAAGGTACATTATCAGTATAATTCTCCAATCAAATCACATGTTCTCGTATGTCGATGTTGACAATTTCTTTTTTAGGTGTCCAGAATGGATACCAACACAGATGCATTGCTATCTGGAGGGAGCATGGTGTTAAGGTGGTTACATCTCAAATTAACATCACCAGCGAAACGAATGCTCGGAGGTTAATAGAGGTTGCGAATGAACTTGGACCAGTGGGGGCTGTGTTCCACCTGGCCATGGTGAGTGCTAGTCAACCATTTTGTTCAATGTAATGTTCAAAGACATGAATAACGAATGCTTTCATTACGCTATTGATGATTAGTTATAGATAGCTATATACATTATGAAAAATACATATTCCATGCAGGTTCTAAAAGATGGGTTGATGGAAAACCAGAATGAAGAAATGTTCAAAATCGTTTGTAACACAAAAGCTCAATCTTGTATCTATATGGACATGGCTACACGCCTACACTGTCGAGAATCTCTTCATTGGTTTGTTGCGTTCTCTTCCGTAAGCTGTGGACGGGGCAACCCTGGGCAAGCCAACTATGGGTATGCTAATTCCACCATGGAAAGAGTCTGTGAGCAACGCCAAAAGGATGGCCTTCCAGGTAAATGAGAAGCATACATCGATCCTGTGTTGATTATCTTAAGGATTCATTTCCTTATGACTGTCCAGAGTTTTCTAACAACATTCTCAACTTTACATTTTTGTTTACATTTCACAGGTTTAGCGATTCAGTGGGGTGCAATAGGTGATGTAGGCGTTGTGATTAAAACAATGGGTGGAAACGACACGATTGTTGGTGGAACACTTCCTCAGAGATTACACTCATGTCTCTCAACAATAGACACATTTCTCTCTCAGGATTGCCCCGTTGTCTCCAGTGTAGTCCTTCCAGAGCGCTTTGAGGGTGAGAGAAACAAGAAAGGATCCAAGAGCAGTATCGCAGATATGGTTGCCCATATTCTTGGTATGCTTATGTTTTGTCATGGTTTATGGTTTGGGGATCCGTACCATAGTGATCAATTGACTTAATTTGCTTTCTCAATGTTTTATCTGACCAACAAGTGTTTTAAAAATGTTGTTTAGGGATTAAGGATATCTCATCGGTTAGCCCCACAATAACACTGGCTGATATAGGTTTGGACTCTCTGATGGGAGTTGAGGTGAAACAGGCTCTTGAAAGAGAGTACGACCTGGTCCTCTCGATGAGGGAAATTAGACTGCTAACCATGGAATCACTTCTAGCAATGGCTGAGAATGATTGTCAACCCGCTGATGAATCTACCAATGAAACAAATTCAATAACTTTGAAGAATAATGTAGATGAGAGATATGACCTTCAACATATCATGCCCAATGTCACACTCCTGAAACTTAACAATGTTGACAATGGAAAAAGCCCAGTCTTCATAGTTCATCCCATTGAAGGTATGCCAAACGTTACAAACCAAAGTGTATAATTTTAACAACATATTTCCGTATGAATGAGTAATTCATTTTGACTGTTTGTGGGTGATTGTGTCTTGTGATTTTGTTTAGGTGTTGTTAAGTGTTTAAGAAGTCTGGCGTCTCACATGGACCGCCCCGTATACGGCCTCCAATGCACGCTGGAGGCCCCCATTGACTCTGTAAATAGCTTAGCTGCATTCTACAACCAGGTATTGTCATAACCGAGTACAATAATACTTTTTAAGAAATCTTTTCTCGCCAAGCTCTTGGTACTTAAGTCTCGTGTGACAGCAACGTTCTTATGATGAGAACTTAACAGTAACTAACCATCAGATCCATTAACCCGTTGCAGTGTATGTATTTTTTTTTATTGTAGAACATCAAAACTATTCAAAGTGAAGGACACTACAATATTGCAGGATACTCTTTCGGTGCCTGCATTGCTTTCGAGATGGGACTACAACTTGAACGCGAATGTTGTTTGGACACACTGGTTCTACTTGATGGTTCGCATTCATATGTTGCAGAAAGAACGCAGGCTTATAAAGAGACGCTCACATCAAAAACACCCTCTGATATAGAACGCCTCTACCTTTGTATATTCACCATGCATCTTTTGACACTTGATTACACAACGGTATTACCATTACACATTTCTCATCAGATAATACGGATTTTTGTAAAAACTTAGCGTAAGATACGATTTGGAGTTTGTTTTTGTCTTAAATAAGAAAAAATATATTCATATTTGTCTCATACCTCTTTCCAGCTTGAAAAGGAGCTTCAACTCTGTGAGGATACTTTAGAGAGTCGTTTGGAAGTTGTTGTCGATAAACTTCTATCAACTAATGCATTTTCTGATAAGGACGATCTTAAATTAATTGGGAAATTCTTCTGTCAGAAACTGCAAATTTCAGATGATTACAAACCAAGTGCCAAGTTTGGTGGGTCGTTGAAACTCATTAAGGCTACGAAAGCCATCGAGTCTTTTGAAGCAGATTATGGCCTTGCAAAGGTAAAGACACTTGCTACGTTTTTATTTCTGACTGTAAATCGCATAGTTGGTAACATCCACCTCCCATAGCATTTGGCTTGTTTATGTTTGTTTTAGCTTTCATGGATGCCGTGGATTAGTTTAATCATTGAAATGTTTTAGGTTTGCCACCAACTACCCGTTAAAGTGGAGGTGGAGGGCGATCACGAATCATTCATCCAGGGAGAAAGTGCTAAGGAAGTCGCTAGGATACTAATGGACGCTTTCTCAAATTAAATAGATTTCTAAAATCCAAAACAAGGTATAACCTTAGAAACATCGTATGCATAGAACTGGATACAAAAACGTGTACTTAATAATGTAGATGAATAAGAATTCATTTGCTTAAATTATATTCAATAAAACCAATATTTGGACACATACCAATGGTGCGTGTGCTGTAGAACAACCTGCTAATGACAATTTATTACAAATGTGAATATGAGTTATTAGCGCCATAAATACAGGCGTTCACTGTATGTAGTTAGTAAATAAAATTGTTTCATTAAATTATAGTCTTATTATGTTGAATATGTAGTTACTGATATTAATTACTGGTTCAACATCCTTAGCTTTTGTTACTACCTCTCACTGCTAGCTTTGAACAATTTACATTTTGTGCAAGTAAGGCAAACATTTAATCACATATTGCATGTCGTAAATGATTTAATACATCGTATCACAGAATATGTCACATAATGAACTTGTTAAACTTGTCAATCTGGTTCACAGAATATATGGATATTTTGCTTACCATTGTAAATAGGCTTTATGGACACGAAAATAGTTACTTGAATTCTGAAAGTGCGTCAGGTACCTAATCATCAGTTGTTATAGCACTCATGTTTTAACACAGGCTGTTCATAACATTTGACTCAGTCAATTATTTGTTACTGGTCTATCGATCTACTATACTTATGTGTATGTTTGATCACGTGACTTCAAATATTGTCAGAAATAGTGGGTCTCTTGCAATTTATTGATCGCCCCTTTGTGTAAACCAGTTGAAATCTATTGTTACCAGTGTATCAATTGATGTTTAATAGTAATCTTGTAAACCATTTGAAATCTAATAGTTACTACCGTACCAATTGAGGTCCAAAAGTAAACTGTGTAAACCATTTGAAATCTGATAGTTACTACTGTGCCAATTGAGGCCTAGGTTTAATAGTAACCCGTGTAAACCAGTTGAAATTTTATAGATACCAGTGTACCTATTGAGGTTTAATAGTAACTTGCGTAAATCATTTAAAATCTAATACTACTGTACCGATGATATTTAACAGTAACCTATGTAAACCCGTTGAAATCTAATAGTTACTACCGTACCAATTGAGATTTAATAGTAACCTTTGTATACTATGTGAAATCTAATAGTTACTACTGTACCAGTTGAGGTCTAATACTAACCTGTGTAAACCAGTTGAAATTTAATAGATACCAGTGTACCAATTGAGGTTTAATAGCAACTTGTGTAAACCTTTTGAAATCCAAAGGTACTACTGCATCAATTGAGGTTTAATAGTAACCTGTGTAATCTAACCATTTGAAATATAATAGTTACTACTGTACCAATTGAGGTTTAATTATAACAACCTGTGTAAGCAAAAACCATTGAAAAACGTAAAGATATATTCAAATGCCCAATTCAGTAAAACCGGAAGATATACTATTAACTGTTCATTCAAGAAACATTTATCCCTAAATGAAATGTACTATGGGCCTGGAGTCATAAATGTTGACTGAACTGTCGTGCATTTAATTTTTGAGATCATTGGAGACTGGGAATTATTTTTTAAAACAAAAGAAAACATCCCCTCACACAAAAAAGCAATACTACTTCAGGTTTTAAATTACATGAAATTACTTATGAAATGCTGTAGTGTTGAATTACTTCAAATATTTCCCAAGTAACATTTACTTGATATGAGTCTGGCTTCCAATTATAAATATTACAAGAAATAATGTTTAATGTTATGTATCATTCAAATGTTTTTTTTGTCAGTAAATTTCAAAAAATGTTTGGATATATAATTCCATCATTATAAGGGCGCAAGCAAAACATTCAAAAGTGAGAGTTCCAGTTACTTCGTATAGAGAAAAGTTTGATAACATGACCAACAAATCTGGTCCCAAAGGGATGATTTGTACTCAGTGCCCCACATTTGCTTCGTGTGTTTCCACAACAGTTCGGGATTTTATTGACATGCATATCGTGAGAATATCTTGTCACTATATTTTCGTATAGTGAAGTGACTAAACGACACGACGCCTTCCCTCTGTACTTTTAGCTTTCATCGTTCAACAATGGTAGCCTTATAAATTATTAAGCATCTTGATCAGCAGTTTGTAATCGAATCATATTTTCATCTATTGTTCATCAACTATAGTTACACAGGCTGACACATAACTACAAGATGGAAGAAAGATATGGCGCTTGCTTATTCCTTAGTTTCAATTGTATCTTTTTCTGCTGTTCATAACATTTGACTCAGTCAATTATTTGTTACTGGTCTATCGATCTACTATACTTATGTGTATGTTTGATCACGTGACTTCAAATATTGTCAGAAATAGTGGGTCACTTGCAATTTATTGATCGCCCCTTTGTGTAAACCAGTTGAAATCTATTGTTACCAGTGTATCAATTGATGTTTAATAGTAATCTTGTAAACCATTTGAAATCTAATAGTTACTACCGTACCAATTGAGGTCCAAAAGTAAACTGTGTAAACCATTTGAAATCTGATAGTTACTACTGTGCCAATTAAGGCCTAGGTTTAATAGTAACCCGTGTAAACCAGTTGAAATTTTATAGATACCAGTGTACCTATTGAGGTTTAATAGTAACTTGCGTAAATCATTTAAAATCTAATACTACTGTACCGATGATATTTAACAGTAACCTATGTAAACCCGTTGAAATCTAATAGTTACTACCGTACCAATTGAGATTTAATAGTAACCTTTGTATACTATGTGAAATCTAATAGTTACTACTGTACCAGTTGAGGTCTAATACTAACCTGTGTAAACCAGTTGAAATTTAATAGATACCAGTGTACCAATTGAGGTTTAATAGCAACTTGTGTAAACCTTTTGAAATCCAAAGGTACTACTGCATCAATTGAGGTTTAATAGTAACCTGTGTAATCTAACCATTTGAAATATAATAGTTACTACTGTACCAATTGAGGTTTAATTATAACAACCTGTGTAAGCAAAAACCATTGAAAAACGTAAAGATATATTCAAATGCCCAATTCAGTAAAACCGGAAGATATACTATTAACTGTTCATTCAAGAAACATTTATCCCTATATGAAATGTGCTATGGGCCTGGAGTCATAAATATTGACTGAACTGTCGTGCATTTAATTTTTGAGATCATTTGGGACTGGGAATTATTTTTTAAAACAAAAGAAAACATCCCTCGCACAAAAAAGCAATACTACTTCAGGTTTTAAATTACATGAAATTACTTATGAAATGCTGTAGTGTTGAATTACTTCAAATACTTCCCAAGTAACATTTACTTGATATGAGTCTGGCTTCCAATTATAAATATTACAAGAAATAATGTTTAATGTTATGTATCATTCAAATGTTTTTTTAGTCAGTAAATTTCAAAAAATGTTTGGATATATAATTCCATCATTATAAGGGCGCAAGCAAAACATTCAAAAGTGAGAGTTCCAGTTACTTCGTATAGAGAAAAATTTGATAACATGACCAACAAAGGAGTGGTTTGTACTCAGAGCCCCACACTTTGTTTCGTGTGTTTCCACAACAGTTCGGGATTTTATTGACATGCATATCGTGAGAATATCTTGTCACTATATTTTCGTATAGTGAAGTGACTAAACGACACGACGCCTTCCCTCTGTACTTTTAGCTTTCATCGTTCAACAATGGTAGCCTTATAAATTATTAAGCATCTTGATCAGCAGTTTGTAATCGAATCATATTTTCATCTATTGTTCATCAACTATAGTTACACAGGCTGACACATAACTACAAGATGGAAGAAAGATATGGCGCTTGCTTATTCCTTAGTTTCAATTGTATATTTTTCTTGTCAATGTTCTCAAGAATCTGTGATGGCAAGGGAATCGACATCGGAAATAATTGTAAGTGTAAAAACGTGTTTGTTGAGAACTTTGCTACAAAAGCATTTTGAAGTAGGAAATAGTGAGAGAAAGAATTTAAGAAATAAGAAAAAACATTTTTTAAAGTTAATTTTCATTATTGGATAATTACTATACTTTTTGCTATTTTAGACACGTCAACTCCAGAGGAGCGACTATATGCCGATCTCCTAGATAAACGCCCATACAAGAAAGTAGTGATACCAAGATATGATGCGTCACAACCCGTTACCATAGATATGAGTTTCACTATTCTACAAATAAAATCTATGGTATGTGGTCAGAATATTATTATCATTTTAGTTTATTTAACATATTAAAAAACTACAGGTTATACAGGTTATTTTTCTAATATTTTTCATCTAGTGAGGGTTATGGCTGATTCACATTATGAATATCATTTCATTATACCATACTAATTTTTAGGATGAGCATCAACAAGAAATGTCTTTCCATGGCTGGCTAGACGTGGTAAGTTATAAAGACGCATCACATATTTTCGTCAATACATTATTTTTAATCACTCAGTTTGATGCATTGTTTCGAAAAATACGACTTTTGAAAGAATTAATTCCTTTTTTATTTATTTTTTAACACAAAAAAGATTAGACTACAATATGAGCCAAATCCCTAAAATTTACATCATATGACTCATTTAACAATTCATAATTGCAATCAACAATCGGCACGAACAAAGAAAAATTACCGCATTATTAAACGATTTAACTTGAGTCTTTAAATAAAAAATTCTATTGTAGATGTACAAATACACTTATTTAACAAATTATATCAATCAAATATTATTAATATTTATCTCAGATTTGGAGAGATCCTCGATTGACTTGGAACCCCGTTGATTATGAGAATGTGGACCAAATCATCGTTCCAGCATCGAATGTATGGACGCCTGATCTAACATTAGAAAACTCGTAAGTCAAAATATAATATAGAGAAGCAAAGTCATAATTATCAACAAGATGTAGAAACTTCTTGCAGCAACAAAGTTGAATAATGAAGTAGGGACTATAACTTGAACATTTAAAGTGAGGTACACTGTGCGACTGTGTGAAGGCTAATCGTATGAACAATGTAATAGACCATATACGTTTTCCTACATTAAACAAAATGATAAAAGTAGTGATAAAATCAAGACTTAATACATACTTGTTCTTTATTGGATAGGTAAATTTGCATAAAATAAAAATTCTTTTTTACTAGAATCTGTACTATACTCTCTGTATAATTCTAGGGCACATGATAGCAAGCTGTCTGACTGGTTAAGTAACTTCTACATCCGTGTCAGGAATGATGGGAAACTCATATGGCAACCTGGCGGTGAATTCGCGATACAATGCGATATCGATATAGCATACTTCCCCTTTGATGAACAACTTTGTGAGATTATAATCATGGCTTGGTCGTCCAGCACTCACAACATAATCATAACCCCAATCCAAGAGACGATCCTGATGAGAAAATACAGGGAACATGGCGAGTGGCACATTGACGACACATTCGCTGAATCTAAAGTTGAACATTCGCTGGTACAAGACGAGACCAACATGTACAGTATCATGCGTTTCAAAGTACACATGATCAGGAAACCTCTTTACTTTGGATTGAACGTGATTTTACCGTGCATACTACTTAGTCTTTTGACTGTGGGCGTGTTCTGTTTGCCCCCTGAGGCTGGGGAGAAGGTGGGACTAGGCCTTACTGTCCTGTTGTCATTTAGCGTGTTTCTGTTGATCGTAGATGACTCCATGCCGAGGACATCAGAAGTTGTACCTCTCATTAGTAAGTGAAAGAATACACTTTTTATTCTTTATATTCGTTTTATTTTTCCCACTTTCCTTTGATACAGATTAACGTTCATATCTCTTTATTAAATCACCTTGCGGATTTAAGAGCTTTGTATGTACCCTAATCTATAGGGTAGCACTAGCAAAAACGCAAATATTATAATCTATTGTTTAGGTAATTATTTAGTATCTTGTTTCAGTGGATTTTTGAAAATCAGTTTTCATTTGAGAAGTATAGAATGAAAAATACCAGTGTACATCAGAGTTTACTCTAAAACACACTCCTTTCTTTCACAAAGATTTCCAAAATCTCAACAAATTCAAGTGTACATCAGAGTTTACTCTAAACCACACTCCACTCTTTCGCAAAGATTTCCAAAATCTCAACAAATTCCAGTGTACATCAGAGTTTACTCTAAAACACACTCCTCTCTTTCGCAAAGATTTCCAAAATCTCAACAAATTCCAGTGTACATCAGAGTTTACTCTAAAACACACTACTCTCTTTCACAAAGATTTCCAAAATCTCAACAAATTTCAGTGTACATCAGAGTTTACTCTAAAACACACTCCTCTCTTTCACAAAGATTTCCTTGTGGAGAATCGGGACCCGATAAGACATAATCAGTGGGATGTTATTGTATCAAGAAACATGTGTGTCAAACACGCTGCTCGATTACATAGCACTTTGGTGGTACAGTTTAGATTTGACACCTTAACAATTGAAAATAATAAGGTGTATCAATTATAAATGTATCATTATTAACGAAATCGGATTGTTCTAGTATATTTGTTTGTAATTAATTATTGATTAGGGTGTATAAATGTTTTGTTTGACAGACATTCATACCGACTAGATGTAGCCATATATTATTTGATGAACTGTTTGACCTCATTATTGGACTTTTCAGCCACTTCATTGTTTTCAACCCCTTTATACTTCTTTTTATACTTCCCCTATGATTGTTTACTGAATATCACTCCATTTTGTGTTTGGCAACCGAGACATTATCATTCGATAGCATATTGTTATCAATATCAAAAACTGTCTATGTCTGAATTTCAATTTTATTTTCCAATATTACAATGGTTGGGAAATGTAATCAAACCGAATGAGTTTTAAATCGCTAAATGTAAACAAGCTTTAATAAGTGATCCAAAGTACGTTGGATTCCCGATTGATAAATCAGTAGGGGTGTACAAAAGTCATACAATATAGATTCCACTCGTTTCTATCAAATTCAGTTGCTCACATTCTGAAATACATGGCATCTTTCTGTTTCACTTGAGCATCAGGGCTGGGAAGAAATGAGATGTCATGGTTTATCATGATGAGTTTCTCACGCCATCTTTAAAACCCATGCAAGTAAATATGTTCAACATAGTACAGTTTGCATTATTTATGTCAAAGAGATTTTAAAGCACATTATCGACAATTCTAACTTTGAGATAACGGAAGGTATTTTTTACATATCTTTGCATTAGTAGTGTCATTAAAGATGAATCACTTTATGGAAATTAATTGGTCAACATAATGGTCAATGTATATAAGATGAGTTTCTACCTAATCCAATACATATCACTGTATATAGGTTGATATTTCCATTCAATGCAATATCATTGGAGATGTATTGACCTGATATACATGTAACATTTTGAAATGAATGGTTAGAAAATAGCCAGATTTAAAGACACGACTGTCCAAATTAATGATATTTTGTGGTTCAAATGTTGCTTCTTGTGCGTTCTTGTTGCTTATCCTGCCGTTGTTGTGATTCTCACTCCAGGTATCTACTTGACAAGCATAATGGCGATGACGGCTGCATCTGTGTTTCTCACTATTTGGGTTCTTGCAATGCATCATCATGCAGCCAAGCCAGTACCACAATGGGTGCGCAAGATTGTGTTTGGCATTATGGCGAAAATGGTTAATTTGAAACATGCTCATTCTCTTGCGAATCGACACTCTGACCTTGCGAAAGTACATCCGCGCAACAATTTTCTGCAGAAGAAAGATAGCGTAGCCACTATTGAGTCTATTGTGGTTGAAAAACGTGAATCCCAGCGCAAAGAGGATGAGAACAACGGCGGAGAAATTCAAAAGATTGTCACTCTCTTGGAAGAAATTCTCAAGAAACAACAAGAAGATGAAGCCGAGTCTAGTTACCAGAAAGAATGGATCGAGGTTGCCAGAGTTGTTGACCGATTCTGTTTTGTAATTTCTACTACGGTTGTCGTTACATTATCTGTAGTTCTGCTCTTGATAATTCCACTTGCAAGGCCTATGAAATCACTAGGTGAACATCTTCAATAGGATTCAATGTCACATTGGAGACTAATATTAAAGAAATGGGGAAGCCCATCGATAAACGACTGTGAAACCGACTTGCGAATAATTAAAATATATAAATCATTTTATTGTATATAATGATGTATGTTACAAATCAATTCTTAATTGTTACAGAATTGTTTATAATGATGTAAATATTTTGGGTTACCGTTATATTTTAGCGAGCAATGCCTCACTGATACATTTCCGTATCTTATGTGTTTTACACTCAGAGACAGAGCCAGAAATGACCTATTTCCATATTTAAGAGAAATAATATTACACTCCACTCTATAATAAATTGCTTCTTCTTTATAAAAAATATTTCAAAAGAGGGCATTTAATCGGGAACGTTTGTAATAACATTGTAATAATATTGATGCTATTTATTTATTCATATGTAAGTGTCTCATAAGCCGGCATCGGCCAGAGGTTTTTATTAATGTATTTTAGTATTGTATTTTATTGTATGTATGAACATGTGACACTTAAATAAACTATATGAACTAAACTTACAATTTTCTATATTGTTTAAGTACTTGGGAATGGGATTGTTTGGATCTTGCGCCAGGTTTCATAATTGGTAATTGAAAATGATGGTTCTTATCTTGATAGATTAAGTTTGCAGGTATTAAACTAAGTTACCATTTTCTGAGCATATAATGAGGATTCGATTACTTTTTGCCATCAATTTTCCTTGGGTCGTGTGCGCTTAATACCAGAGATTCTTAATTTGTTACATCAGTGTCATATTCAGTTTTGCAATCGTCTGTCTCACAATTGAATCAATGGGGTCCCTAAATCTCAGCATGGTATCATCAAAATATGTAACCTGCATCATTTTCTTGCACGAGCCTGGTTCTTGAAGATAATCATCAAAATGACAACGTTTGTAATGCTGATTCATACCTAGTGTCGTATCAACGTCCACTGTCCATGGTCCATTGTCATACTTTGATATAACCTCCCAACAGTAGTGGTTATGGACACGGATGCAAATCATCGGATCATTGATAGATTTGATAGAATATCCATACTCACTATTGGTAATTCTGGTAAGATACCGGGGAGTAATGAGGTATTTTGGTCTATTAACATTAGGATGAAGATCAAGAAAGAAGTATACGTTTCTAAACCAATACATCTTGTAATCAAAGTCTCTTGGTTGTTCGCGGTCTATTTCACGTAAAAGATCGTGGTAGTTGTTCATAGATGGAAGACGTGGTACGATAAGTTCATCGAAGTCGGTGATAACAAGTTTGCGATAACGGAACATGTTCCTGTACATACAGTCATTGAGGACAGGTGTCATCATCAGTAAGAGAGTATATTCACCTGAAAATAGTTTGGTTCATTAATATATTTAAATAACATAGCGTAACCACATCAACAGATAAACATGTACAATCAACTATAAAATCTGGGTTAAATTAGTCAATGCACGATGTAATTGTGAGTCCAATAACAAAAGTAAAGTCAATGATAGAAACAATGAATTTAGTGAAAAATGTTATGATTTTATCTGTAAAAAATAATTAATTTTTCAAGGTCAGAGTAGAGGAAAATGTTGAATTACCCTGATCTTCCATTAGTAATTCTCCACTTCTGTAGTCAACGAACCCATTCTCACTGTAATAGCGGAAGACGGCATCACTCGCTGCAACAAGGCTGTTATTGTAAACGCTAACTTCACCAACGCCCCACAATTTTAAAAGTTCCAGCCATTCTATAAGTTTATAAGGGTCTTGGTTCCAATATGTTATTGATACACACATACCGAAGTCTATTTTCTTTTTCGGAATCTCTGGTATTTTGACTTCCAACAGATTGGTTGGCGTGCTAAACTCTGATGTTATAATGGAGACATATTCTGGGGATATATAGGTATTATCAATAGTTGTTGGTAAGATACATGAGTATATGTATTCTCTAAACATTTTTCCATGTCTCGGGACTCCTTCTCCTATATGCCCTAATATTACATTGGTTCTTGTAGGGCGTCTTTGTCCCTTGAACCATAATAAACAATGCAGCGTTCTATTTTCCATGAATTCTGAAACGCCTATCACCCTCACAGCTGGGTTAGTGTCTAATGTTTCACGATTATCGTAGTATGCCCTGTACAGGTAAATCTCAAAATAATCGGTTTGGATTTGCCAACCCTTGTTGAAATTATAACGTACTTTAACATGTCTACTTGGAGTGACAATACTCAATGGCTCAATGCTATTTGTATCGTTGTATTTGTGAATCGCCATACGAATGTTTGCAGTTGATGGGTTTAGTTCTCGAGGTAGGATAATAGAATCATTGCTGGCGATATTTGGTTGTTCATCATTGGTAACTGTTAGTACAAATACTGTCTGCAGGATGTAAATGCCCAGCAGGAACCCTGCGAGGACCAAACATCGCTTAAGCCTTTTCTGAAATGATGAATTATTTTTTAAATATTGTGCAATATACTAGAAACATACACGGTGACCCAAAACGTCGATCCCGAGTTTGCTCTAAAAACTGCAGGTTACTTAACGTCATTGTGTACTTTAGGCCATTTTGATTGCAATCCTCATAGAGTCACATGTTATTTTCAAATGTGAACTCCTCCTTCCCCACATATACATCTTTCAGTTTTGCACAGAGTGCACTATGCATGGCACCTAGAGAATGTTTTTATGAAATGTATAAAAAAGAGAAAATTTAGTGACCTACTTAAAAAGCACAAAAGTACAAAAAGTGGGCCACTGAATTTTCTCATTTTTCATATATGTTTCATAAAAAAGCATCCCTAGACTCTTTTCTAGGTACATTGGTGCACTCTGTGAACAATTTAAAGATGTAGGGAAGGGTGGTTCACATTTGAAATTAACATGCGACTCCATTGAGGATTGCATTAAAATACCAAACGTATACACTAATTCCAAACAACATTTTGGAATATTTGCTATACCTGCACATGTTATTTTCTGGAACAAAATAAATAAAGGCATGTGTGAATTTCCTTGATTTTTCCAGGAAAGTATCATTACATTGTCTTCTCTAAGTAAACCTATTAAGTGGTCAATGGAAATCCAGAAACTTGGAGAAGAAATTTGGAAAATTGAAAAGGCGGCCATTTTGAATGATTTTTCTTGAAATATCAGCATTTCCTGGAGTTGCCATTGACCTGTTACCAGGTTTACTAAAAGAAGACATTGCAAGGATACTTTCCTGAAAAAAGCAAGGAAATACACACATGCCTTCATACTTTGTACCAGAAAATAACATGCGCAGGTATAGGGATTTTTTCAAAAATGTTGTTTGGAAAGAATAACCTAAGGCGAAGCTAAATTAAATAAAAAGTACAAAAAATGACTGCCATATTTTTTTGATAAAGACACATGTTTTTAAAATCTGTTTACCTTGTATATGAATTGTATATCTTGACTAGTGAAACATGTCAAAGTTAACATCACACATAAACGCATTTTTCCAAACTATGAATTGGAGGTGCATGGATCCCCAAAGCTAGCATGAAGAGTGCGAAGTGAGGCTAATTTTTGAAAGTTTCAAGGAGTAGCCTTGCAACAGTCACACATTTGCAAGAATTCAAAATTTCCACAAATCATCTTACCTTTCCCAGGAACAACGAAGGAGCATGAAAATGTGCACTTCTTGCATTGTTAGAGTATAATAAAGCTCAAACCATTGTAAATTCTAAATATTTCATGTTCACCATTTTGTTTGCCGGAACTACTTCTAGACTTCCTGATTAATCCTCATACAAGTTTTGTGACTACACCAAGTGGCATGGATTATCACTTGTATATTTTATCTATTACAGTATTATTATCATGATAGATACATGATAGAGGCTTTATGAATGATAAACAATGGATACATGAATGAGGATAACTCTGGACTAAAAAATAGTTCCAGGAAATAAAATGGTGGACATGAAATATTTAGAATTCACAATGGTTTGAGCTTTATTATACTCTAACAATGCAAGCAGTACACATTTTCATGCTCCTTCGTTGTTCCTTGGTAAGGTAAGATTATATCTGGAAATTTTGAATTCTTGCAAATGTGTGACTGTTGCAAGGCTACTCCTTGAAACTTTCAAAAAATAGCCCCACTTCACACTCTTCATGCTAGCTTTGGGGAGCCATGCACCTCCAATTCATAGTTTGGAAAAATGCGTTTAAATGTGAGGTTTTCTTTTATGTGTCTCTTAAGTCAGGAAATGCATTCACATACAAGGAAAACAGAATACAAAATCTTCTGACTTTATCAAAAAAATATGGCTCCCATGTTTTTGTACTTTTGATTAACTTAAATGTCACCTTAATGTATACAGTATATAAACACTTTTTCGAGTTTGGATTAAATATGACAAGTGATTAAGAAATATGCACTATCATACTGTCACAGGTAGGGATCAGATCGCACCTTCGCGTCCATACCGCTGTTTTCCGTACAGGTTGCCGCTCCTTCGAGTAGATAATCGACAGAATTTACGAACACAAAGGCTCTATCTTTTAATTCAGTCAACCTAGCCCTTTCTTCATAGTATATTCAGTTAGAGGAATGTGTTTCATATCATCTACGTTTTTAAGGGTACTTACATATGTCTAGGTTGCTCGTAGGACAGCACACAAATTACCCCCTGACATCCACCATTTCAGTTAAGTACGTTTTTCTTGGATTTGGGGTCATTTTTGTTCCTTCACACCTCGTCCAACGTAAAATTTGATTGATTTTACTGTTTAAATGGCTAAATGTATAAGAATATATACCTGTTATACCAGCATTGTTTCGACTTTACAGTTTCTGTCAAATTCCGCCGTTTTCGTTTTTGGATTACGCACCTTAATCGTATTTTGGTTTCAGATAGGTAGAACTCTCCTTTTATTCAGATTAATGTTAAATTGGCAAAGTTCAGATCACAGAGAACTATTTACACGTGATTTGTGTCGTTTTTAGAGTTCTTTCAAAAACGATACAAACGACACAAATCATAGTCTATGTAAATAGATTAGAATTTCTCAAATCGCAGCCCATCGATTTTTAAAGAATTGCAATAAAATACAGCAGAACTTCTCACCTTTATGTCGTAAACATTTAAACAAAGAGGCCACGAAAATCAAAACCTCTGCTGTCCTGGTTGGTTAAAGTGCAAAAACGTCGTCACATTTATGTTAATGAGCCAAATTACCGGGGCCCACAAACAATTGTGTGCCAAAATTTTTTGCAGTGGGCCTTTTTAGGTCAAATTATCAAAAATGGGCATTCAAAGTTTTTGGATTTGAAATGTACACCCCCCCCCCCTTGTTAACTTCTGGATTCGCCAGTGGTTATGATCACAAATCTACAAGTTATTCTTTACTCTCTCTCGCGAATAAGCCTACGGGCGTTTATTTTGCACAGGGCGTTTATTTGAAAGAATTTTTAATAAACGCCCATGGGCCTATATTAAGAGGGAGAAAACAATTTTCCAAGGAGGATAGGCGTTTATTTAGAGGAATAGCTAGGGGGATATTATCGATTGTATAGTTGACACATGGCCTTCATACTCACGCACTAGTATGATCACGAACGTGGGCAAAAACGTTGACCAATATGTGACCTCATTTTTATTAATCATTTGTACTTGAACGACATTAATCACGTATTACCTTACATATGTACTATTCGCAATTTCATCCCTTTTCTCAAATGTTTTGCCAACTGGGCATTTATTTGAAATAATTTTTAATAAACAAAGGAGCAGGTGGGTTATCGCAAACAATTTCAGAAGGTTATATCTTGGATTATGACTATTTTCTGACAATGAAGACAAGTTTCTCTTTTAGATAAATTCATTATTTCAAAGAAAATTATGCGTAGCAATAATAAAGTCAAACAAACTCGGAGATATTTATCTAGCAATCAACCCATCAACACACTTTTTCAAAGATGTTGACCTAATTTTCACCGAAAATGCAATCATTTTTTACAATGTTTAATGCATGACTATTCTTTATTTTGATGTATCAAATAGTTCTTGAAAGAAAAACTTAATTGCTTTAAGATAAGTGTTACCCATGTTATTTCTTCATTGAAAAATCCCATGCTATCCATTAGTTTCAGTTCATTTTGGTCATCCAAATTCAGTATCTTTAAAGTCCCTGGAGCAATCAACTTCTTCTTTTAGGAAATCGAACATGTCTCCAAGCACATTCTAATTATGCATTCAACAATATAATAAAAGGTTGCATTTTTGGTGAAAATTAGGTCAACATTTTTGAAAAAGTATGTTGATTGGTCCATTGCCCCTTCAATATCACTTAGGTCTGATTAACTAAATTATCATTATATGTACTTTTCTTGAAGATAATGAATGGATCTAAAAGATACACCCATGTTCATGATCAGAAAATATTCATAATTCAAGTTAGAATCGTTTGAAATTAATTGCGATAACCTACGTGCTCCTTTATTTTGGAAAGTTAATCCAATAGCCAGCCAATTTACCTTGAAGGTGTGAAATATATGAATAGCATCGTGAATAGCCCTATTAAGATAGGCTAGGCTAATTCTGTTAAAACTATACTCATATTAATCACGTATTATTTTGGTAAATAAATGTCATATTCATAAAAATTATAAATTGTTAAATTAAAAGTGTTTAGCATAAACTTCTCTAGATAAAACCAATATGATTTAATCTTTTAGAATTAATTCACCTTACTTTTTACAATCAATAAATTCAGAAAATTACTTAACATTTCCGATTTATATCTAGTTTCTAATTTATCCCTAATTCTTTCAAAATTCATCAATATCATAATGAAAGGTACATCTAATTGTTTTTATAGATATTTAAATATGGTGGGGTCGAGTTGACTAAGGGTTGAGTTGACCAAGGGTTGAGATGGACTTGGGGTCGAGTTGACTAAGGGTTGACTTGACTTGGGGTCGAGTTGACTAAGGGTTGACTTGACTTGGGTTGAGTTGACTTGGGGTTGAGTTGACCAGTTACCTTTTTAAAGAGGGAAAAACCTTTTCATACACCACACTTTCAAATAAACGCCCATGGGCCTATTCGCGAGAAACTAACATCGTCGCGAGAAACTAACATCGTCGCGAGAAACTAACATCGTATGTGTACAAAATAGAGAATTCCTTCCCAATATAGTGCTATTCCACACCATTGATTGCAGTTTGCACACTTCGTTTAACATATGCCAGCAGATGAACTGGAATCAATATTCAATGTACGTACAGTACACCTACTAATAAGGTGTGGAACTGTTACAAAGAAACAGTGGAGCTTCGTGTCAAATTGTGTTGATCGTCAAATGGGATGGAATATTATATGAACGAACAAAAGGATATTATCTTTAACATTCATGGCACAATTCCAATTATATGTGGTAGCTGGGGGAACTAATACAAACATGAGTTTTACCAAAACAACTGGCCACGAGAGATTTTCGAATGATAATTCCCGACTGTGCGCCCGTTTATGAAGAAACTTGAGGTAAGCTGGCGTGGGACATGGGTGAAAATGGTAGATAAATATGTGATTCAACTTATTAGACCATAAACAGATCGGATAATTATTGTGAATTACGATTTAGATGCAGTTCTATGACCTACCTGTCCGTGATTTCTACTCGAAGGGGCGGTATTTCTACTCGAAGGCGCGGTAACCTCTACGGAAAACGGCGGTATGAACGGGAAGGGGCGAATTTGATCCCTACCTGTGACTGTTAAATCAGTGTATACCTACTCTAGAAAGTGCAGTGGTCATAAATAAAATTTGATAGATAGCATTGACATAATTGTAATTTCACATTTCAGCCACTCTGTGATTAGCCTCTGGCGAAACTATCAAACAACACCAGTTATCAATAAATGTGAGAATATTATATTTTCAATTTATGCGATGAACGATACATGAATGTCTGATTTTCTGTATATATGTACTTACTTGCATTGCGATCTTTCCCTTTGTATATATATACCTGTTATTTATATTCGTTTGAGAGTAACGATTTTAGAATATACTATTTTCTGTATATTTGGAGGTAATGTCAGTCACATATGCTCCGATTTATCGGCTGGCGCCCCTCCGATTGAGTATTTTGTTCAAAACTGAATACAGTGTCCTGCTATTTTACATCCAAGCAGGCTTTTGATTGAGTGAACTGCATCGTTTGTTGTAGCTGGCTGTTATAGTTTATACTGCCCATTGGTAGTCTCTTCAGTGTACAGTATAAGAGATGTAATCCCAAATACCTTTCGAATAATGATTTATGTTCTTTGGTTTTGATTGTGACACCAACTGGAATCAGTAATTTATTCCAGCTAAAATTAACACTTATCCATTTTGGTTGCAATAATCTGAATTTCTTTTCCCTTTAGTTCCACGGACATGCCGCGTTCTTCCAATTTCGGGAACAAATTCTTTCAACAAGTCTTTTTCCAAAACGTTGATGTATTTTGTCGTTGTAAAGTATGGTACAGGATTCCTCTACTACTAATTTCCCATTACATTTAAACTGTTATTCACGGTACAATCATATGAATGTCAACAATACTCGATTTTCTAATGTCCGCAGTTTGTTCCAAAGAATTGTTCAAACAATTTCATATGTAAACACATTGAGTACAACTTGGATTTGTTGTTGTGTCAATAGAGCGATCACTAAACTCGTTCTAACTTCGAATTCTTTGATTTTCGATGATTGAATGTGGATGTCACTATGATTCAATTGCATCGCCTTGTGTATGTTTTATTGAATATCATTATGCCAGTATTGTCATCGTTAATTTGGTTATTACTACAATATCGTGTTGAATACTATGTGATTACAATACCAAATGTCATGAGTAAACGGGTCCACTATGAATTAAACAAGGAATTGTTGAACGGTTAAAATAAATTGGCGTAATTAGATTATGGCCCCTGGCACTTCACGTAGGCTTTTAGTTGCTCATCAAACGGGACATATCATTCTATTAAGGTGACCTATGTAAAGCTATGTCATTATTTTTGTTAATGAAAATATTATTCAGGCTAGCTAGGTTTCTGCAAAAAATATTATGATCATTTCCCTTTTGACGTATTTCGGTCTGTTTGGCTGAGAGATCTAGTTGCCTACAGTTCGCTGTGTAAAGTAGAAAAAGAGAGAATGGCATGCGGAAAGACATTATCTTTTAGTCCTTAATTCATCAAAGAAATGATACCAGCTCAAGTCTTGTACTATAGAGGGGATTAGCATTTTCAAGAATGGGGATCGGGTAATCGATATTGTGGCTTATGCGATTCCATTTAATTCGTAGCCAATCGAATCAAAAGTTTCATTTGCCGTATTTGAATACGTACATTGGAAAATGGGAAGTTTTAACAATATAATCAAACTTTGAAAACTCAATTTTAATGAAGTAAATTCTATGAATGAAACGTAAAAATAGTGTGTTCAGATTTTGATATAAGATTAAAATACATGAAAATACAGAAATAATTCATAGATAATGCCATCTTCGTTTCAAGCAGAGAAGTATATAGTGCATGATTTGAGTTACGACAGCATTTGAGACCTGATTGCCTCTCGAAGGGTGCAAACCGATTTTTATATACTTAGTTCAAGAGTTAATCATAACTTTTCTTTGTAGTTTGTGAAACAATCACTTTTCTCTCTGCCAACAGCTGCAAATATGTGATGAAGATTAAAGTTAGAACTCAGTATGCCATTCAAATCGATGGATGTATGAAACTCTATTTTGGGATGTTAGACATTGTTTCTTTTCACGTTAGATCATGGTTTTGGGATATATAGGGTCTACTTTTCTTACACTTACAGTTTGCTTTTCTTGTTGGGTTTCTTTGAAGTTTTTAGTCACCCTTCCCTTTGGCATTTGCGCTTATGTAATTGTATCTTTGAAGGCACCATATAGGGCTATGTACCCGAATGCAGAGTCAGTATAGTTGCAAACTAGAGGTCACCTTTAAGATCTGAATACAAACAAATCTAAAAGGTACTTTGAATGATGAAGCGCTTGTTGCTCGAGTCTCGAGTACCTCCTATAAACCATACGATAATCTTGAGGATCAGTATGACATTGTTGCGGGGTTTGAACTCCTTCCCGGGGAACTGATATCAGTTTTTAAATCACATTGGGGACTTGGAGAAATCACTTAAGGTCCCCTGTGACTAAAACCTTTTAATTGATGACCCAATCGGTGCATCTATTTTATCTGTTTCCCCTTAAGACGCTCTCTTAGTTGGTATATCGTGTCATTTCTTTTGATTTAAAGGGTGACGCATATCGTTTAGCAAATCGAACGCTCGTTTCTGGTGTTGCTCACCGTTTAGTATAAAAGGCCCGATCCCGGAATAATACTCAAGGGTTCACAGGTTTGAGATCGTTGTGTCAACACCTCTAACTGTTATATAGCATAAGTATATTATAGATCGTCACACATTTATAAAAGGGTGATTTTTATTTTGACAAATCAATTCCACATTTATGGGCGAAGTTTCAGGATCATCTATTTGTGTATAATAAGGAAAAATTGGCATCTAAATTTCCCCATAACGTAATAGCACACAGCTTGGCATATGAAATATCCTACAAATGAAACAAAGCAAGACAAACCGGTTTCTAATGCAAGGATTTATATTGGCTGTTGTACATGTATTCTTTGAACGCAATCACTCTTTGGATAACGTTTTCAAAATCATTATAAACGGATTACTTTATCTCAAAGACAATTTCAATAAACTGGATTTTACAGAACTCCCCTTATTTCTTAAAAATGGACTGATCCAGTTGATTCGCCTAGAGCCGCCATATTGTTTTTATACGGGATGCTAATCGGAACCCTTTAATAGTCTCTGTTCATTTGAATCTGCTGCATCACGATAGCTTCCACAGGACAAAGACAAATGAACGTCACATCTGTTTTTAATGACTTTGTGTGCTTCGGATGATGGTTTCGATTTAATATAAGCCCAGCATGCCCTGGGGAGACGGTCAATGTCGTCGCAATTCATGCAAGACTTCGGTCAACCATGTTTGACTTGCAAGCGTCGTAATAAAACAAAAAAAAAGAAAATTGCTAACACTATTGGCCGAAATTCTTTCGAACTGACGGGTTTTTGACTTTTTGATTTGGGAGTTGGTCTATATATCTTGTATATTTCATTGCGTATCGATGTTGAGGATCGATTCCCACAGTACATAGTATAGTTGATTATTAGACTCCAGTTACAAATCTGAGTCTTTTGTTTTTGCCAGTTTTCTTCATAGTTTAGTATACGGATACCCAATAGTATGTTGATAAGGCTAGCCTTTGACGTCCGAACATTTTGACTCGATTTTAGGTATCCGTGTCATAGACTATTGCCAGTGTCCTTCTAAAGGCCTACTTCCATGTCAGGATTGCGTTAGACTGTCCGTATCCAACAGAATGGAACAGAAGCTGATTACATGTGTCCAATATGCTAGCATTACCAAATTCAATGCAATTTTGAAATGTGTTTTATGTGCTACATTACCTCATGATCTTATAATGCTCCCTTAGATTACAGAAGACGTCGCTAAAGTCATTTTTAATTACCATCTTGACAAAAATCAACTCGTCCTGCCAAGCTTCCCAAGCAATGTTTTTTTTTACCAAATGAGAACTGACACCAAGAATGAATCGAGGTGTGTTATTACAGTGTGCATGGCGTGCCCCAAACTACCAAATCGTAATTATACATGCTAAGTACACTATAGATATGTTTGGATTCATTCACATATAGAGGCCACCGTACCGACATGACACTTCGCATGAGTGGATTATTCGACGTACTAGTAATTGACTGATTGTGGTTCTTTAATATTTTTTCATTCAAAATCAATAATTTTATTAGCAATATTTCTGAGATGGACAGTGTCTCATAAGCCATTGTCGGCCGGCTTGGGGCTTTTGAATAATTGTACGTATAATTATGCAAAATGATACACTATAAATGTCTGGATTCATTGATATATTGGGATAACCAGAATACAGGTTCCAACTTCAAAGTTAAAACTACTTCGATGATGCCATAAAGAACAGTCACAAATGCCAAGTCGACACATTCATCCCAATAATACAGTCGATTATTGATGTTTATTTCTCATAATTTTATTTTATTGCGACTGATTTGCAGAGCGTTGTGGATGCTTTACACGCTATACAGACTATGCTATACCAAAACAAGCGGTGCGGATATCTTGTACGCAAAGTGCGGATATTAACGGTAATTTTCTAATTTGATTTCGTGATATTTCACCAACATAAGGCATGTTGTGTACTCAACTATATTCGTACAGGTGTGCAGGTGCCCTAATAAAAAGGAAATTCTGTAAATAGGTGTGTATTTCATTCTATGGCGACACATCAAGCAATAATACTTTCTAATAATTTGAATTGCAGCTGTTTCACAGCGTAAACAGAATTCATTCATTGATATTGATGATCGAGATGACCTATCAATACAAGTTATATTTACATTTTGAAAAGTGACGATATCCGCACCGCTTGTTTAGAGGTAGCACATATCCGATACAGAAAAAATGCAAAAATAATTTATATCGATTGGCCTTCTCGATCACCTGTACTGAATTAAGGCTGTAAACTGTGTAATAAAGCAACAATCTCAAATTCAAATGCTATGGAGCAAGGATGAATGCTTAGTGCGTCGTTAAAAAATGAAGAATACAACTATACACAAAATTTCCCTTTTATTAATTATCCTCTACAAATGGATTACTATAATTGAGAACCCAACATGCCTTAGTTTATGAAATATCACAAATTCAAAATTGACCGTTAATATCCGCACCTTGCGCACATGATATCCACACCGCTTGTTTTCGTATAGCACAGTCTGTATAGGGTGTTATATTTATCAGATTCTAAATCCTGAGATATAACCATAGCTACAAAATAGATGGCATGAACGATATGGAGATAATACATCAATAACGCTAAGAGGAGGGAAAGCCCCAAAGCTTAGAGATAACAGACATGATTTATGGCTTACCACCTTCGTTTGTTTGAATTTTCACCGGCTGGTTTCCAAAAACAACGCTTCGATATGATATTTTGATTAATGTAGTCATATTCCGTACATCTTTCTTAAACTTGATATATGAAATAAAAAGCTATGATATTGGTTAACACGCCAGAAATTAACATCATATTATTCGAAGCGTCTTTCGAAAATTTCGAGGCCGCCATATTTGTTTGTCGATTTTGACCAATCAGAGACGTAGGTCTCAATACAGGTTTACATTTTAAGTGTACGTCATCTTTGAACTCTGGAGTTAATCCCACCACTCGAAATGAATGAATAAAATGTCGGACCCTTAAAGGATTTTTTTCTTTTTTCCCCATTTCACGCGTTGAAGGCAGAATATCCACGACATTTTTTTCACAAAACGTATGTCATTATCATATATTTAAGAAAATGTATATCTTTGCGAACAAGTGGTTCAGAAGACAACAGAATCGTCGATTTAATACGTGTTACCGAAACGGAACGGGTTAGAAGCGCAGTTCTTCGTTTTTGAATTTCCGTTTCGGTAACAAAAGTAGTTGTATTAAATCGACGATTCTGTCAACTTAACAGTGTAGTCAAACCAAACCACTTCGATGTTGACCTCATTACTAACTCGATATACGTCTCTTAGAGAATAAAAATCTATACTGACCATATATGCTTGGACAATGCAATAAGTGCAATGCATAAAAAAGTTTATAAAAACACGATGTCTAATCATCTAAATGACATGTCACTAAACCAATTAAGATATTAAAATTGCTCCAACGACAAATTTCATGGACATTAAACTTGAAACACAGGCATATCTTTGAAGTAAAATAAAAAGAGGCGTTGTATAATTGAACATGAGATTAACATTTTAATAATTATACATGACACCATAATAAAAATAACATAATAATGTCAATAATGTCAAATGATATGTGCTCATAGAAGTTGTAGATTAGGCTTCCATATTGTTTGTAAATATACATAGCATATCTTTTTCTTTCCATTGTAACATGCTTTGAAACTTCTTTGATCATCGCTTGACAGGAGGAGTGACAATGGTACGTGCGTATTGCTCTTATACCAATGCCCCAGTATTATGTCTACCACTGTTATTTAGAAACAAGTGAGCTGAGAAGAAATATCTCAAAAATCTTAGAATTTGAGATTAGCTGAATCACAAACTCATCGTGGCATCTTTTGACTGTGCAGAAATTTCAAGTTAACCATCCGGTCAAAACTATTGGATCATTTTGTCCTTTGGAGTTAAGATCGAGTGGCATAACATTCTCCATGTTGCAAACTGTTGAATAGTATAGTTTCTAAATAGCTAAATAAAGCTGAATAAAGCTGACATAATAGATGTCACCTTTGTTCATCTTGGGCCAACCTTCAATAGAGTTCTATGCTAAAAGCTTGCAATAGTCACTTGATTTCATGAAAATCTGTCTGAAATTTGAATGGCATACTATTAAATGACCCTTTCAATGAACATATTGTGATTAAACATGAACATGTTGGTTGTCATACGATTAAACCATGGTTTTAAAGAATTTGGATTGTCTTGCATTTCCCTTGGATGCATTATCCAAAATTATCACAATATTTCTAATGATTTAGGATCAGTGTAGTATTACAATGACTACCATTTTGAAGCATTATGGTGCAAATGCATCATCGAGATCAAATTCGACAAGTTATTCAAAACATACATACTCTTTGCATTCGTTTGACTTACACCCCAGTCACATTTCCTACGGAAATTTAAAATTCACCGTGCGGCTGCCGTGGGAAATGTGACTGCAAAAGTATGAGAGCGCGGAAATTCCACGGCGAACGTAGAAATGTTACTGGCCGCAGAAATGATAGACCGCAAGGTCGCCGTAGGAAATGTGACCGGGGTGTTACCATACGTACTCCTCTCCATCCTCTCTACCAGTCTTGGAATAAAAACGATACTTTATAATTATTGTTTATAATTACTTTGAAAATTACATTGAAAGATAGATGATCGGTGATACGACTGAGATGCTAAGCAGATCTAACCATCCATACTGATTGTGCCAACAACCCGTTCACAAACAACTTTTGCCCTTCTTATCGGGAATAATTTCATGCAATCTTGACTTTTTAATTAGTCAATTGTACTAAAAAATAATAATCCGTTGCTTTTATCTAGGATTAATGATTGATGACACATTGTTTGAGCGACTAGTATATAAGACTATCTAGTTAGGACATCTCCCTATATTGCGGTGACATCAACACTTGTAGGTAGCTGGCATCTCATAAGGTAAGCAAGGACTTTAATAGTATTATTCATTCCTAAGTTTGTTCATTATATTCTTGTTTTTAGACAGGGTTGATCTGATATGAAATCGGTATTTTAACTAATTTTGTTTTCTCTGATATAGGCCAATTGCATATTAATTAAATTTTCGAATTGGCAAATACTCCACTGACATTATTTCACGAAGGTAGCATTTTGGAAAAAATATATTTTAGAACTGTTCATTTGATACTTTATTTTATCATTGGATAATTCATTTTTTTATCCTTAATGACATTACTACCGTCATGTCATCTTATTCAAAATATCAAAATATCAATACATGCATAATGACAAGTTTCATTTAACAAAATACACTTTAAAATACACTTAGAGACAACAATTAAGAATACAATCGGTAATCTTGACACTAAGAGACAACAATTAAGAATACAATCGGTAATCTGGACACTAAGAGACAACACTTAAGAATACAATCGGTAATCTAGACAAATCGAGATAACAATTAAGAATACAATCGGTAATCTAGACACTTCGAGATAACAATTAAGAATTCAATCGGTAATCTTGACACTAAGAGACAACAATTAAGAATACAATCGGTAATCTTGACACCAAGAGACAACAATTAAGAATACAATCGGTAATCTGGACACTAAGAGACAACACTTAAGAATACAATCGGTAATCTAGACACTTCGAGATAACAATTAAGAATACAATCGGTAATCTTGACACTAAGAGACAACAATTAAGAATACAATCGGTAATCTAGACACATCAAGATAACAATTAAGAATACAATCGGTAATCTGGAAACAAATTCCCATTCCTCAGTATCCCAAAACATGATCGAACGCAGGGACAATATAAAAGCATTTTGAAAAATGTAAATTAATATTCGAGCCTAGATCAATGCATTTTTCGAATCGATTGTCACACACAAGATTCAGTGTCAAGGTTTATATATAGAAACCAAATCAAACTCATTGGGATCGTCCTATGAGAATAAGTATACATGTACTATAGGTATAAGGTTTTAATTACTCTGTGGCTGTTTTGATTGTTTTAGTATACTTTAATTGATATTTCATTGAATGAGATCGATGTCCGAAAACAATTCTCCGATGCTTTATTAATAGCATGGATTAATTGATTTAGATTATAGTTCCTTACTGAAATAATGTTAATGAAATTACTGCCACTTTATGGGCGATTGAACCGACTCAAAAACACACAGGAGTTCAATTGATTTTATTTCAGGTTTTTAGCAGGTAGGTTAGAGCAACCGTGTGTTTTTGGACAATAGAAACCTTGTTTTTGCTACCATTTTATTTTCAACGTAAAAGGAACCAAATCAAACTCGAATGGCTGAATGAAATTACTAGCCAGGATGTTTTAGGTAGAATTTTCAGGTGAATGTTTTAAGCTTCACTCGCCATTTTAGAGTCATGTTGATGCGTTTGGTCACTATGGTAGCTGCGTGTGCAGTGGTTAAAGGTAAATAACTTTTTGTATATTCAATATTTGCGGCTATTATATACCCAGCCCCAAAATGAGTGAACAATAAATGGAACAATTTTTTTATTTAAATGTCCATTACACTTTTATTTGTCGTAATCAAGCAAGACTTGGGTCTCATCCATTTGTAAAGACATTCCTACTTTCAGGCTTAAATTCTTTCTCATTGAACCGACTGTAACCATCTTTTGTTTCTGACCATGATATAATAAGCAAGATTGGCGTAATTGTCTTTCCAGGGCAAGCTACAGGGACATGCCCTAGCGTAGTAGGTTTTCCCAAGAATGGTGGGGGAGAGGTGAAGTCGTTGCCTGACACTGGTGGAAATTGGGCAAACCTTATGACTGATAATGTTTTCCCGTGTAATGGTGTCGTGAAATCATGGACATATTATAGGTATTCATGAAATGAGAACACCTCTCATAATACTAATACTTAAACATGTGCTATGATATGTTAAAGGTAGAGTAGAATGAGTGGCTAATGTGAAGGATGCATTGGAGAAACGGATGTTCATGTCGCTCCACTAGACTCGCCTTAAAGAAATGACTAGATACGTTTAGATATTAAATGATCGTTGTTTTAATTACAGAACAATAGCTGTTTTCATATTGGCCCTATAATATGATTTTCTGATGTATGTTTAATTACTGTGATTTCTTATTTAGGAACGACCCTAAAGATGCAGCATTTGTGTCTGTATGGAGAATCGTACAAAATGGCGTATTTAAGCTTATCTTTAAAACAGAATTGCCAGCAACTACCGTTGGAAAGCATACAGTTCCCGTCAGTCCTGAGGTATTTACACACCCACTCCAAATACATCATAGTCATCAAGTTTCTACTTAATTGTTATTCTAAAAAATATACAAAACTAGGGCAGTTCTTAGAACACAGCATTGACTTTCGGTTGGCAAACTTATGGAGAGGTTTTATGGCAGGTATTTCTTATAAACATGATGTCGTCGATGTTACACTTGCAACTCTGGAAAACATGCGGTAGCTACAGTGTACGAGGTATGAGATAAGTGTTTGAGCCAGATTACATGTTTCAGTAGTTAGTTATCATGTGTATATGCATGTGTTTGTTCTACTTCAGGCGCCCGTACAGAAGGGAGACTTTATAGGAATCCATTTCTCGAGGAGTGCTTCTAAATGTGGAGTGGCAAATGCTAATTTGTATAAGGGAGAAAATCCTGAACTATTATTAGAAGATTATTTCTTTACGTTTAACGGAGGGGTAAGATCTTTATACCGGAAATTAACAAGCAACATGGCCATTGGAATCATTTTGAAAATGCCTAAATGGTGAAGTGTAAAAATGTTAAACATCAAACTGATTTTACATTAACCTGTGTGATACGTCTATCATAAAATATACATGTATATTCCGATATCGTTAGAGAACTGATTTTTTTTCAGATGTAAATTCTCAGAAAAAGTCTGTATTTATATAAGTATTCTTAGTATTATTATATAATTACTTTTCTTGATTGTAGTACTTTGACGACCAATTTACAGTTGGTGCGGAGTTTAACTTTGCCCCAAATAATCAGATGAATTACGTGAAGAGAACATATGCAATTCAAGCTGAATTTGAAGGAGGTATTGTACAAAATGATAAACAAAACATCTAGATATCTTTTATATATATATAAATATATTTTTAAGCATCTTATATAATAATGGACTGTTCACAATTTTAATTTTGACTTTTAGATGATGCAACTGCAAGTCAAGGTCCTATATTTGACAATGCAAAATGTCAAGCCCTTGATACTGTCCCTGTAAACGCGCTTATGAAGGAGTTACCACAAAGCGGGGATAACTGGGGAAACCTACAGGTGCCTTTTCCTCGTTACCTGTTTAGATTCTTTTTTTAAGTAAACTGATGTAAATAACAAGCTTAATGACACTTCGGTCTCTCTTCTCTCTCACCCTAGATAAGTGCTTAATATCTTTTCAGAAAATGCTCTTAGTAAACCCCGAGGCCCTTATCCATGACAAAAAGAAAAACTCCTTTCATGATCAGATGAATTACCTTATCATACCCCCCCCCCCCCATAAGGGAATGCAGAATCAGCTCTAATTAAAATGGTTTTGACTCATCTTCCTTATAGTATATAATCTCTATCCCGGGAAAATTTATGATTTATACATTTTTGTGTTCATTATGTGAATATCCATATAATTTAAATATTTTACACCTTGAATCTGAAATAATTCCACCATATGATTGGAATCGTAAGTCAATTCAACTGGATATTGTACATGTGTATCTTATGGGAGAAAATATATATGCGATGGTAAAAATGTTGACGTCATCCCTATTTCACTGCTTTTAAGGTAGGAGATATCTTTCCGTGTGATGGTGTGGTTACTGGATATGAATACTACCGCCATCCTGGCTCAAAGGGTACTGCATACGTTGGCATTTGGGAATTTAGCGGTCCAGAAAAATACGAATATACTCTTAAGCACAAAACTGCCTTACCATGGGACGCTTCACAAGGAGATCAAGGAGGACTTGTCACAGTTTCGATACCGCAAGAGGCTTATGTAAGATCGATATCAGTGTTTACAAAAATATGAAACTATGTTTTTTGAAATTATTTTTATCAAGCAGTTCGTACCACTTTAAAACTGTTAATGCGACGGTATATTTTGAAATGTTTCCATACTAAATTTTAGCTCAGGGTGAATCAAATGAATGTTTTGGGAGTGTTCTACTCAAAAGATGATCCCGTCGGTGTCATATCGAATGCAAATCCTTGGCAAGCTGCAACGGATAACATACCTTATACAACGATGTATGACACCCTCAATATCAAATCGTAAGTGGCTTTCTCATTCAAGTTTCAAGTTTTACCACTTGAGATGCTGAAGGACGTAGGATTTGGTACCCATTATGGGTGACCAAACTTAGCTGAAAGCAATGATTTTTCCCTATGGGAAAATAACATGGGAAATATTGTTTTCCACTTTATCTAAAAGGAACCTATTAAAATATTACTTTTGTAAATACTAGCCATACTTTTAGCACCTCTATTTTATAACATCTTTAGGTACGATGAAGATTTCCAAGTAGGAGGAACGTATAATTGGGATCAACCTTCCTTATGGATCGTGCCTAGGCTCTATGCACTTAGAGCTTTATTTCAAGATAGTGAGTATTGCCGTATTCTCGTATGTGTGTTGAAAATGTGTTTCTGATTTGAAAGACATTGGCGATGGCTGCAGTTAACTTCACCAACAATGTCGGCCGGATTCAATTTTGATATAAATCAAATAATGTAATTCATTGTCTATCACCGTTCAATAGTGTATGATTCACTAAATCGCATTAGGCAATCACTGCAACCGACACAATATTTAGATTAATTAGAAAGCTATTTTAATGGTTAATAACTTTAACTTTAACAGAATCGAATTACACGGAAAAATATTGTGAAGTGACTTCCAATGTAAAATACGGAACACATTTTCATAAGTACAATTATGAGCACCTAACCAAGAACTTTTATCAATTTTCATATTATTTATTAAAATGCCAACATGTTTATATTTAACGAATTCATTTTTAAAATCTGATGTGGTACATTGTGTTATATCTTTACCCATAAAATTAATATTGTCTTCATTAGTATTCATATTTTCATCAATAATTTGTTTGCTAATATTGGCTTTTAAGCCTAAATACTGAATTAGGTTTGTTGCATTTTTCCGATGATATGAGATAATTGTTCATATGGCATTATTTTATTCTGTTTTCCAATTGTTTTGATTAAATTATTGTTCCAAATAATTGAATCCATTACTCCATCAGTACAATATGCCTTATTCATTTTCTGAACCTTTTAGAGTGTAGCATGGTCTATTTAAAATGATCATAAAATAGAGTTCAAAAGAACTAAAAAACGAATGTCGGTTTCATTTGTTTTGTCTCAAAAAGTAATATTAAACATACAGTGATGGTAATTACCCCGCGCGCAGAGTCTAGTTATGAGCTTCTGAAGACGAAGCTCTATTTTGAGAAGCGAAGTCGAACGATTGCAAAGGGTAATTACTGGTATAAGATCACATGGAATTCAAAGCATTCGTCGTTTCTCATAATCAGAATCAACTGTCATCTCTCGTTCAAAAATAAAGAATTTCATCATTAGAAGAGATTATATACCCCATTCTTTGAGGTACAGTAGGTACAATTTTACGAAAAATATAATTGGATAATTTTACTATTTTCAATATCTTTAAAACGATTCTCTTTTGCCTAATGGCGATGAAGTTAACTACTGCGTATAGATGGAGCTTCCATTGATAACACTACGGTATTTTATTTTACAGGACCACCACATTTTGATCTGCCCCCACTAGGTGATGACGGTTAGTGCCTTTATGGTTATAGAATATTAAATAAAGACCTTGTCCAATTGAGATATATTTACTTCCAATGTAAGACTTACACATTGATTGTTAAATTGGCAATGTTAAATCGAAAATGGCCTGAAGCAACAAAATCTGGTCTGGAACGGATTGCTCAAGTAAATTTGATATTTCTTTATCAAAGTGGAAAGTCTGAATAGCAATATAATGTCAGTTAATGCAAGTCAGATATGTATTTCGATTGACGTATTAATGGTACGTTTGTCTGAATAGTTTGAACATTATAGGTGATTATTATTTAATATCAAATAAGACAGTTTGCTCAAATAAATTTACTGGTTGATAACACATTGATAATCGGTTGTAAAAGTACCATTTGCATCTTTTTTAGTTACGTTATTATTTTTCAGCCGGACTAGGCGACGACATTCCAATACCACGTAAGTAATTTTAAAAATGTCCTTCAAATGATGTCTGTACAGATTTATTTATCATGACCATACATTAAATAACAAATCTAATTTCCAATAATATACAAATATTTTTTATTTTAATAATGATATAAAAGATATGCAAGCATCTTTTATTTTAATAATAATGTACAAGTATTTTTTATTTGATCATGAGAGGAATGAGATAAATCCTTAGAGAACCAACTATTTGTCAATATTTTATTCAATTTTATGTCACATCTAGATTAAAAATAGATCTCGAAACTAATTCATCGGATACATATTCCTGTGTTTGATTACGCTGTGATACGTCTTACAGCTCTTAGCACAATTATTATTATGAAAAGTTCATATGCTTTTTTAAGAATGTGGTCCCGACGTGGTATTTGCGGTAGATAACAGCTACAGTGTAAAGCGAGAAGTATTAAAAGACGTGACATCGTTAATGGCAAACATAGTCAACCAGTTCGAAGTTGGTCCCGGTCAGACAGAAGCGCAGTTTGCAGCACTGGTATTCGACAAGACCGTCAAAGACCAGTTTTACTTAAATACTAACAACACAAAAGATGGAGTCTTGGACAATATTGCTGGCTTATTTATGGAGTTAGACGGGAGGAAAACAAGAACAGATAAAGCTCTTAAGCAAATCTCCGAGGAGTACTTGGATAAAAATGGAGATCGGCCTAACAATAAGAATATTGTTTGTATCATAACCGATGGTGTGACGCATCCAAAACGTTTTAAGCCAAAAGCTGTGGCACTAGCCAGGAAACTTGAGGGACATCCCTACAATGCAGATGTCATTGTAGTTGGCTTACCCCACAAGCGAGCTAAAGACCCTGGGACCCACTGGAATGATCTTGCTACCGACCCCGATGCGGAACACACGTTCCTACCACCTCTTTATCAAGTTGCTGATTTAAGCCTCGCCAAAGCCATAGCATCAAAAATAGGCACATTTGCTTGTAATCAAAAATGAAAAAATAAATGTTTCGAATACTGTATGGAAATGTACATTCAGTTTTGTTTTGTTTGATGTCACTGTTGATATACTTGACTTGATACTTGACTTGTCATACTTGACTTGACATATTTGACCATACATTCTAGGAACCCAGGTGATCCTAACCTGGTTTCCGAGGATGTAAAGTCTAGCTCCCGACTGATATATTGTGATAAAATATATCACCAGACAATATTGATGGGTAACAGAATGATACGTTAACAACGTAGAGAACGAATGGATAGTCCAACTAGTTACAGGTCCTAGTTTTATATCCATCTTAAATGTATAGATGTCGTCAGAAAAATCTTCCTTTTTCATCAAATATTTTATTCAACACAAAACTAGATTTTTTTTATATTTATGTTTACATTTCCAAAGATAATTATTATGATAACGCATGAGGGATAATAATTTCCAGATATTTTTCCTTCCAGACAATTCTTATTTTCTATTAAAGTACAAGTGCGTGATGGTGAATATGTATTCTAGTTTCTATCGCCAGGCAGCTACTTTTTATTTATATTTCTACTAAGACATGTCCATGGGAACCATGTCTATATCTTGTTACATTTGTCCTAGATGATTAGTTCTGAGTATATACTTTAGTTACATTACTAAAATATACAATTGAATTGTAGGTTCCATATCAAGCAAAACACGGGAAAATGTTTAATATGGTCAACATTGATCACCAGTACTCATTTTCCAGTATGCTGCCATCTTTTAACATTTCACACAGGAAGTGATTTCATCAACTTTTAGCTGATATGACATTGCCTATAACGATAGAGGAAACTAGCAAAAATCACTTCTAGACAATTAGCTCTGTGCAAAAATATTTTTAGGGCTTGTCAACTTTGAATTAACATAGACACAAAGAAATCAAGAACATGATATGTGTCATAATGATGGTCACGGATCAGTCAAAGTTTCAATCCAGTCAAATGGTTGTTGAAGGGGGATTTTACTGACATGACGACAAAACTCCATCCCATAGACCCCGGGGCCCATAGAGCCCAAATAACCGACGATGGTATTGGGAAATTATGTGCATAGTTGAAGGTTCGATATCTAAACGTTGTGGTGACCATGGCGGAGCCTAGAGCCTATTAGAAATAGATAATATAAGCCAAACTGGGGAGCGAAAAGAATAGGCGAGGCATTTTAAGGTATAAAAATGTGATACTGTCTTTGCCCGTAGCCAGCTTTTACTTGGAGGGGGAGCTTTTTTCCAAGGGGAAGGGGGCTTTTTCACAATTTTGGCTAAAAAGCATGTGAAAAATTCTCAGAATGGTGCAAAACTGCATGGTTTTGAAAGAATTTCTGGCCAGGGGGGGGACTTCCGCTCCCCCAGCTCCCCCCTCTGGCTACGGGCCTGCTGTCAGTTGATTTCATTTTCAAATTTCTATGTTATATAATTTTACGCAGCACTTGCCTGTCTCGTGAGTGACTATGTCCATTGTACATGATAATCATGAAAACTATACACAATGCCTTTTAAAATGCTTATCATAAATCAAATGTTATCGACTGAATATATCGCGGCTATATCAGAAGAACTTAGTTCTACCTCGTAGAAACGGAATTCATCCAGCATTCCTTTTGCATATAACCCATTGTAGTTGTTTGGGACTCCGAGTTTGAAGTTGTTGTATGATGTTGGTGAATTAATTCTGGTATATGGGTTGGTGTTTGACGCTTTGAGTATGCCATTTATGTACACATTCTGTCCGCCAGTTGTGCTCCACGTTACGCTTATGTGATACCATGTGTTGGTAGCAATATTGTTCACCGTAGTGTCCCATTGTTTATTCGCTGTTGTTGCATGGTAGAAACCAAGAGTGTCATCCGCATTAATCCGGACCGCTATTCCATGGCTAGTTCCACCGTTAGGTTGTCCACCTGATGATATATAGTAATAGTATGTGGATATAGTTGGTGTGTGATAAAACCAAAATACCATGCTGTGTCCATTGACACAATTGTCAAGATTTCCAAAGCAGGTAGCGCGCTGATTTCCAAAATCGATCATCTGTCCAGTTCCGTCAAATGATATGGTCTTTCCTACCTTACCTGATACGAAGTAAGGAGAAGACCAAAGTGTTCCACTGAGAAGGCCATCGGTTGAGGTGATCGTTGTCCCACTCACAGAATCAATGTTAAAGGAAATGTGCACATCTGGAACTATAATAAAAAAGCTACAAAACGTATCAGGCGGAGAAATGGACACATATTATAATTATTTCAGAAGTGTAATGTATTGAATCGTTGCTAGACAAAGATAATGGGCGCGTGGCAATTCTGGAAATAAACCTGTACAATTTTAAAACTGAAATTATTAAAATTCGCATAATGAGATTTGAGATTTACTTCCCATGACAAGAACATTTCTAAATGATTGAAAACAAAAAGTAGTCATTTTGCTTATTTTTCTGAAATTTGAAAATATGTTTTTATCATTCATTTAGTATTTTTCATGACTTTAAAAGTTATTTAGAGATTTTGAAAAAAAATTAGGGAAAGAAGTTATTTCGATTTTCATTTTTTCAAATATTCAAATTTCCCGCCATTTTTCAAATAAAAGTTGAACGTTTTTAATCATCAAATATTCCACTATATAGGGCAAAACATATAAACTTATCATCGTGATGTCATTTAGGGTGCAAAAATCCTTTGGAAAAAATTCAATTTCTTTTGACAACTGTGTCTAAATGATATGCTAAACTTTCAAAATAAACCAATATCGATTGTCTAACTGGGTTGAAAAGAAGAATATATTGTGTTTAAATATTGCTGTACCATTTGTTTTTATCAGAACTAAACTTTTAAAATGCATTTTTCTCTGAACTACTTTCACACATGGATGAGTTCATTTCTCGCTTATTTATCAATCAATTTTCATACTTATTTATACAAAAGACACGTGCGAATTAATGCTATGCATAGGTGTGAATTATCACTTTTTAAAAGATGTTTATGTGCTCTAAAGTTTTGAATAAATTCACGATTTTTCGAACAAAAAGTCCTTCAAAACCACTTTTTGAAATTCAAAAACAAAGTTTCCCACATCACAACTTGATAACATTTGGTAAGACTACAAAATAAGCCGAAGTAGTTTAAACTTTATATATGACCTTTAAATAGAATAGTACCATAAGCACTGGGCGCACATAGTGTACCCGTTTTCAAAAGACCATGGCCATTGTTGTAACTTGGAGACATTAAAATAAGGTAGCTGTAAAATTTCAAGCATTGAATTGATCGAATACCTTGATGAGTAATGACAATAAAGAGCTGAAAAAGGATATTTCAGCAATTACAACGGCGGCAATTTTTAAAGGAATGGTATCGATGTGGAGATCTTTTTGAACACACGTTTCTCTTAAACCAGTCATAAAAAATCTAAAAATTTAACACATCGTCAATTTAATGGTCATCTTTTGAATGGTAACAATGTAATTTGAAAAACTATATATACTTTCATCTATATTGTTTTAGAAAACAAATCAAACACTTGTTTTGTTCTTGGTATCATGTTTCCCGAGTGAAATGAAACATCTTTCCGAACCTCATTGGAAAAAAACGATATATAAACACAACATGTTTAGGTCTCTCAATATTGTAATTGTACAAAGGAAACTTTGGTTGATTTTAAAAAAGTATCTTGTTAATGAAATAAAAGGTTTATCAACAAAAACAGTTATATAAAATATTTCTAAATAATTTTCGCATTAAATTGTTGTCAATTAGTCAACATTACATAAAAACGTGTTTTTACAGAAAGTTATCAATGATTGGCTTAAGAGAAAAACATTGTTGAATTCAGTTCTCAATATCGATACCAATCCTTTACGAGATTTTTTGCCAAAATTTCTTGACTTCTTACTCTCAATCTGTACATCTTTAAACAAATTAATGCAGTACGTTTGGATAAAAAGAGATATCTCAAGTTGCGGATCGGGATACTTTGAATCTTTGCGCCATATTTTGTCGAAACTTGTAGACATTATTTTTAACCTATGAAATAAGCTACATGTAAAACTCCTTGCACATTAAGAGAATAACGCCTGGTTTTTCGGGATAAAAGTGCATTTTGTAAGAGGCGAGCTTTTGCGACGCCACTTATGGGACAATTGTACTTTATCCACACATTTTAAGAGCAAAACCATTTGAATTGTTAAAATACTCAATTGAATTATAACAAATAAAGCTGAAGACCTGATTTTTTGGCAATAAAACTAGCCGCCATTTTGAAACGAGGCGAGCTTTTGAGACACCACTAATGGGACAAATGGACCTTTTAATTGACACATTTTAAAGTGAAACCATTTGAATTGTCATTGGGGATTTCGAATGAGGTACCAATATGTTGAAAGACGGCTCGGACGGAGGGATAGTGGGTGACAACAATAACTCACACCATATGAGCTAAATACTGACTGAACAACTAATGCTTAATGTAATATTAATCATTGTACATGTATACCTGGGAGAGCTGGAGCAGTAGTAACGACTTCTGTCGTCGGCGCTGCAGTAGACGTAGTTGTAGCAACAGGTTCTGCAAGTTATATAATTTCATTTTGAAACGAGGCGAGTGTTTGAGACACCACTTATGGGACAAATGGAAGGCAAAACGAAAAAATATAACCATGTGTAAAAATAGAAATATCAAAAAAGGTTGTTGTTCAAAAATGAAAATACAATATAAAAAAATAACTTCGCTAACTTTTACACCATCATTGCACCACTTTATTTATTTTCTGGAAAGTTAATTTGAGGTCAAGGATCATCTTAAGAAAAAATGCTATTAGAAATCACTTTCTGGAAAAATAACTCATTTGAAGTTATTTATATTATAAGAAAACATGTCGAAAATTAGGACTAATCAACTTTGAAACTAGCAGACTTGCGTAATATCATAATATCCTTATTCCTGTCACTCTCCCCTATACTACTATCTAAGTAAATGTATACTTTGTGAAATCGAAGCAGAATCAATAGATATTGTTTGAGCGATAAGGAACGAATGATACCCTGGACGTTATTGCAATTATAACAAGTGGATGATTACAATAACTCACACAATGAGGCCTATTTATATGAAACAATTTGTTAAAACTAAAGATAAAAGCCTTGAGTGAGAGTGTATCGAACGGTAGTTATCCTCTAAACTAATGTCAATGTCCTTCGGAAGAGTCGGATGTCCCCATTGTTCGCCATTTTGGCATCCTTCCGTTGAGATAATGATTCAATATTTTGGGACAATGACATATAAAGAAATACATAAAGTAGTAGATTCTGTTACGAGGTTAATCCATGCATTTTCAAGTAATTAATGATCTAAAAATCATCATTATATTATATCATTTGGTTCATTTCGATGCTAGTTTCTATGACGACAACTAAATATTTTGAGTATCAAATGTTTTTGAAATAAAATTATAACAACTTGGTATATATAAAAATGCAAATTAAGTATAAAATAATAATATGGTATTTTTATTACTTTTTGTACGGCTTTTTTATTTTGAAAAAATAGACTACTGCAAAATGACGATTCTTCACTTTCTTAGATTATTGACCTTTAACCTTGGTGTACAACTTCCCTATGGGACTCGAGAATGAACACGTTCATTCTTAACATGGGGCATTGTTGTTCCTTTGATAAGGAGACGTGGCAGGTGACTTTTGGATCAATGTAAAGGTAAAACCTTTTTAACTAAATTACACCATTTTCGAGGGACTCCATGGGACACGGTGGGACTCAATGGGACTACGTTAATGATGTCCCGTGAGACTTCGAAGTGCTCAATGGGGCACGGTGGAACTCCATTGGGCAAGTGGAATTTCCCCCCTTTAGTACATGTACATGTTGGGCTTCAGTGCATGCAGTGTATGTCCTAAGGGGCTTTCCACTGGTCATTGCCAGGTCGCTTTTTATACGGATCAGTCGATTTTTTTCACTAGGTATAGGAAAATAACATTGCCATTTTGACCAGCTTTGACCAGGTTTCAGATCCTTGTATCACTTGTTTCACTAGATGTCTCATCTGGTTTGATAATTTGAGATACCACGTGGCGAGATGTGCCAGATCCATAGCGCAAGCCACGAGGTACTTCAGTTTAGATTCAAAATTTTCACGGTACGTGAGATAGGGTTACATATATACCATCTGAGTAGTATATATAATATTAAGTTCAAACATCATACTTCAAACATCAGTGGATCATATCTTCATAATATGCATTGATTTTAATTGGTTACAATAATTCATTGAAGCAATTCAGACATTGTGTGTTAATTGATGTATCTGGAGAGTAACATAACAAACTTGTTAAATGGACGTTTGTAATCTAGAGAATGGGATATTATATCTGGGAATGTTATTGAGATAGTAAAGATACCATAGATGTGATGGCCAATAAATGATTGGATGAGATGTTTTCCAGCAATTGGAATGATCACTCTCCTAAGTGAGAGGTGTCAGTAAAATTTGTGTGGAATTAAGGTAATTGTTTTGTATCAAATTGTTTAGACGTTTTCTATCATAAGATATCAATGTTCAATTGGTGACAAGAAGTTTTAGTAACTTCTAATGCTGTTCACATATACTTACGATCATAGAGAAATGAATTCAAGGGACGCTACTCGATGTTGACCTTGACGTTAATCGATATCAACATTCAAAATGTCCTTATTTTCTGACATTATAACTGACTATTATTTCATAATAAACAGTCCAACAGATTCGGACCAATATCTCGATTACGTCTTGTGTGTTTTGAATTTTTTTATTTAGAAATAAGATCAAAACTCGCTATTCAAACTCTGAAGTGAACAAATTGGCGGCTGTTTGAATTCGAATTTTGTAATAAAGATATCTCCATATACACACCCGGTGATCGTGAATATGGGACGGAGGGGGGGGGGGGAGCAGGCAATTAATGCTAGGAAATTCAACAAATCTGGAAGATTTATTTTTTCAAGAAAATGTTTACTATTGAATTGCTTAATGGATAGGCGCACGGTATGGTAGAATATGTTAGGTTTTCTGGGATTTTTTCTGAAACGATACGTATCTAAGGTATGAGATCTATTAAAAAAGGCGCGAGGCCATCAACAGGCACAAATCAACATTTTTGCTATAAATCAAGCAACAATGGCCTGGACGACCTGTAATAAATACTTGTAAGTGATGTTATCATAATTAAATTAATGTCATTGCTGAATTTATAAAATAAGTTTCCATATGTGAAATAAAAAATAATCGAAAATAATGAATTTGGGACGGAGGGGGGGGAGGGGACGGAGGGGGGGAGCAATATGTATATAAGACATGATTAGAGATGTTTCGCGACTTTAAGTCCTTTTACTCCAAATGTCCCCATTTTTCAGTCTCCAAGGGTATATCATCCAGTTTCTTACTAAGTTAATGAGTTCATTTTTCAAATACAAGAATTCGTGTGAAGTTGTTTCACTTTATAGAATTATTACTCCCCCCTCCGTCCCCTCCCCCCCTCCGTCCCATTTTAATTATTTTCGATTATTTTTTATTTTACGTATGGAAACTTATTTTATAAATTCAGCAATGACATTAATTTAGTTATGATAACATCACTTACAAGTATTTATTACAGGTCGTGTAGTCCATTGTTGCTTGATTTATAGCAAAAACTTTGACTTTTGCACGTTGGTTGCGTTGCGCCTTTTTTAATAGATCTTATATCTTAAAAGAGTATCGGTTTAAAAATAATCCTAGAATACCTAACATATTTTATCATACGGTGCGCTTATTCAATTTGCAATTCAATCGTAAACTCTGTCTTGAAAAAATAATTTTACCAGATTTGTTGAATTTTCTAGCGGAAATTGCCTGCTCCCCCCCCTCCGTCCCATTTTCACGATCACCGGGTGTGATATATGGCAGAATAACGAGATGGAAGCCTTGGATACAATTTTCCTTGCTTTTAAGATAATACATTTGTGATATTCATAGATGTAAGAGTTGAAGTTTTCACATTGAAACAAGTGTCACAGTACTATTGTGAAATACTGCGCTTTTCTCAAAATACATTGATGTGCAGACACTTTACCTGTCGGTACCTGTAAACACTTAATATTTTCAAGACATTTTCTTTGAATGATCATAACTTTTGACATTTGTTTTCAGCCCCAGCAGAAAAAAACAGCTTCCAAATATTCCAATACGCTAATTATTCAAAGACAAATCAAAAAAGGATCAAATACACTTTGTCCAAAATCTAGCCTCTAAGGACCGACAAAAGAATCGACCTGCCCATTGTTGCTGTCCTTTAAGCGAGTCCCATCGGATTTTTGAAAAGACCTTTCCAAGAAAGGCTAAGTGCAGGGAAATCCCATAAAATCCTGTCAAAAGATCCTCTTTAAATAGACCTGTTAAAGACCCATGGCCTATTCTCCCATTGGACTCAAAAGGTAAAAAACGCTTTGTACATTAACCAACTTTTAAAAATAGCAGCTTCCATTATACCAGTTCTCTTTCCAGGGACCAATAATAATTTATCAAAGTGTGAATATACCAAGAATATACACATAGACTTATTTCCATCGTCAATTTCAATTTGTGATCACTACATGCAATGTGCATATTTTTGAATATGGTTTGTGAAATAAAGTATGAATTTCCTAAAAATGCTATGGATTGTTAACTCTTGTATAGATGTTGTTATAGGGTTGGTTTCAAAGGTATACTTACCCAAGCAGGTTACACCAGTAAAGTCACCGTAACATATGCATTCATTTCTAACGCCACGTCCTCCGTTGAAACATTTAAATCCCTGTAATAGAAATATAAGTGTAAACATGATAGGAAGGCATTCGAATGTATATATTATATATAACGATTATGATAAGATATTACGAAGTCATGCCTCACCTTTACAAGAAGTCGTTCAACGAAAGGACAAGGTGGTTCTATCATCGTCAGCTCATATAGCGTACACGATTTTGAGCTTTTTGAATACGACAACGCAGTGCAGTCAGGTGTTTCGTAGCACGTCCGTGCGCAATTAAGTCTGCTTACGTCATGAAGAAGAAACTGGATTGCAGATGTCAGCGTTGCAGTATCAGCGCATACATCTTTGTTTTCGAAAATCCCATCTAATATGTTCCCGCGAACACAGCATAACATGGTGAGTGTAACCAAAAATTTATCCATAGTTCTTGACTTGAAATTTGTTAAAAACCAAGATCTCCTCGCAGTTAACAATTAAATCAAGCTTTGCTGAAGTGTCAAGCCTACACGGAACACAGACAAACATTCATCAATGATATTAGAGCAATCTTTGGCAATGCGTCCTTACACCTCGACAACTTTAGCGCTATGGTACAAGCCGACCTCTGCAATCTATGTAGAAGTGTTCTTCAAATACATCAATACAATTGTAAGGCTGGGGACATCGATTTAACTCCACCATATCCTACGTAACGTTTTAATTTATTTTATATAAAATGTAAATAATGTTCATGTCAACTTGTATACGTGTATACATATAAATGTGCTTATGTTTAAAAACTCCAATTCCAAATTGGGAAATAAAAGATACATACACATACACCTTTGTGTGGCCGTTACATTCGATTTTTCCATATATGGCAGAATAACGAGATGGAAGCCTGGGATACAATTTCCTTGCTTTTAAGATAATACATTTGTGTTATTTATAATTATATATTTCACATATGTAAGAGTTGACGTTTTCACATTGAAAC